ATATAGAAAAAGAAAAAAGAAAAGAAAAAAGAACGAAAACTAGAAACCGAGATCTCCTTCAATAGCATTAACATCGAGATCAATAGCTGCTGGATATTTGTTAGAATTTATTATATTATTACTACTACTACGTGTAGATATTCCACTGTTATTTATTCCTAATAAAGAACATGTTTGACTATATTCAGATAAACTTTGTTGATTATTATTTGCTTCACCAGATCCAGCACTAAAACCCGAATCATACGACATATTTGACTCTTCAAAGTGAAGTACATGACCGGGAGGAACATCCGTGAAGTCGACCGGAGAATGAGCTGGAGAATCATAATCGCATCCGCTATCTTCATCATCGCCTCCAATACAGTCTTGATCGGCACGTCTTGTCATCTATTGAAAAAGAAGAAGAAAAAAAATGAACGGAAATAAAAAGAGAGTGCAACAGACAATCAGAGATGCCTCAATTTAGTAGTCGTATTCCATTATTCTAATAGATTCTATAGTGAATTTGACCGAGCGTGCAAATTAGCAGTTTTCAGGTCAAACAATATGTTGATGCATACACACACATATATATATATATAGTATTCTAATTAAGTAAATAACAAAAAAAGAAAATGAGAACAAAGAAACCTAATACTTTATTCTTGTTCAATCAATCAGTCAAATATTAAAAATCTTAGTCGATTTTATTTTTTCTTCTTTATTTATGCTATAAAAGAAAAAAAAGTGAACAGGTGCGATTGTCAATCTCATTTCGTATGCTGCTCAACAGAGCGCACATACAAACACATACAACTCAATTTATTTCTATGCTTTTTTTCATTCGCTTAGGGAAAAAGAGGAAGAATCGACAATGACGACGAAAGAAAGAAAAAGGAGGACGATAGAGATCAATTGATCGAACAATTTTCTTTTTTTTTTTTTTTAAATATTTTTGATGGTCATTTCTCTTAACTTATTATGGCAACATATTCTAAACTCTTCAAACATACCTTTTTTGGTGAATTGCCATCAAAGCTGTATGTCGATTGTGTCTAAAAAAGAACGAGACGAGAGAAATAACAAAATATGACAAATGACTCGAATCCGTTACATATCTCAAGACATGAAATGTCAGTATACATATGATGCAATTGATCATTATTCTTATTCGAATCAAATAAATAAGAAAAAAAAAAAGAAGAAACGAACGACTAATATGCTCGACTATCGCGCTTTGAAAAGAGAGCTGTCAAAATTCTTTCTCATATAGACAAAAAAAAAGTCAAATAAAACGATGTATGTGTTATTATTGACAAAAGGACTGATGATGGGTGCATATATATATATATGTATATATAAAGAAACGAACCAAGTTCACATTAACACTTGAAAGAAACGCGATAACAAATAATAATGTGTGATTTAATGAATAAAATCAATCACATATTAGTATGAATAAAAAAAAAAAAAAAAAAAAAAAAAAAAAGGAAAAAGAAATTACCTGTTTCATTTTAAGTAAATCTAAATGAGGCCTATGATCATCTTCACTTGCTTTACGTTTACGAGTTGTACTCGAACGTGTTGATTGTTGAGAATTTATTGAAATTTTATTATTATTATTACTACTAGTTTTTATCGATTCATCATGTATAAATGAATCAATTTTAACACCGGCCGATGCAGCAGCAGCACGAGTTAATGGTGGCACCGGTTTATGTTGTGGTGTATCTAATGAAAGTTTTTCTGTAAATGATGGTATAACTTCAATATTGCAATTTTTTAATTTAGTACGTGAACGTAAATTATATGGATTTTGTATTGAATCTGATGATGGTGGACGTACAGCAACCGGTTTAATAACTTGAATATTTGTAGAAGTTAAATTATCTTTATTTATATTAGACGTTGAACGTGTCGTTTGACGACGAGGTGATGGAGTTTTTTTCATTAATTCATTTAATGTTGTGCTTGAACTTCGTGTTGTAGGATGATGTGTATGCATCTGAAGAAGAAGAAGAAGAAAAAAAATTCATTTTTTTTTTAAAGACAAAAACATTTCTATAGGAAATAATTTTGTTGTTACTTCTGTGGTAGTTGAGGAGGAGTGAATGGCAATAGTGGTAGAGAAAGAGACACAGAGAGAAAAAAAGAAATGAGAGAAGAAGAAAGAGAGAACGAGAGAAAAAAAAAGATGCAGCAGATTTTTCTATGTGTGTGCATGCTGACGTTCTGTATGTGTGCCGTCATTGCACTGACCCGATATCAATTTCACAGAAGAGCGTGAACACACACATGCACGCAAAAGAGAAAATGAGAGATTCTTTCTTCTCATTTTTTTTGTTGTATTTGTATGATAATTTTTTACATGTGCAGGTGAAGCACATCATTCGAAGCTTTTGATATATATATATATATACATAGAAAGATGTGACTAATCCTCTTTGTAAAAGATATTTAACTAATAGAAAGAGGAAAAGAGAAAAAATTCTCAATCAAATTCGAATGTCATGGTCATTATTAAAGGAAAAAATACAAAAAAAATCTTCTCCTACTTCCCTGAAGCTATATAGGATGTACGTCGTTTCCTCTCATATATTTTTTTTTTGTGTGTGTATGTTAGAGAGAGAAAGATGATCGTTTCCGACCAGATGGTAATGGATAAATGAATTGACTGATGAGAAACATGAACACATTAAAGTGAAAAGAAAATAAAAAATGATCAATTGACAAACAGACATGTTCAATCTATTGATTATTATTTTCATCATTCATTTATTTCACTCACTCGTTATTTGAGATTTTTTCCTTTTGCTTTCGAGTATATCACCTTTGACTTGCAACTAACCAACTTACGTATATGTTTATATATATATATATAAATATAATATATTGTCGATTTTCGAAATGTCGTCGTTTTTTTTCCCCTTCTGTCTCACGCGCATATACATATATATATATATACATGCACATTCTAGGCCCCTTTCTGCATCGATAACGGTTACTTGCATGTTCTAATCAATTTGTCAAATGATGCAAATGTCGATAGTCTCGTTTTCAGGATAACACACGCACATATCTACCTTGTTGTTGTTTTTCATATATGTATGTGATTTAAATATTTTCAATGACTCCCTTATTATTGATAATGATTGTAAAGTGATCGTCATCATTCTTACTCAATATTTATATATGTATATTGATGATGATGATGATCAAGGACTATAGATATCATGTAATCAGTATAATCAAGCATGATTTTCTTTTTTTTTTTTTTTTCGTTTTATAAATGAGTTCTTTTGTTTTTATTTTTATGAATATATGTCGGCAACATTATTACTAATGTTGACAAAACAACTGATGCACCATTCATACAACACAATGCTATTTCTATCAATAGGAAGAACGTAAACGATAGGAATGAGAAGAAAGCAACCTGGTGCCTGTCAGCTTCTTTTCTTTTTTTCTTTTTTCTATAATTAATGACTTTGACTAGATCGATTTTGTATGAGTGATTGATATTCATATTTGTAATAGAATAATAACTAACCTTCGTTATTATAGTCTGATTGTTTGTTATTATTGATCGTCGTAGATTCATTTATTTTATTGAGGGGAAAAAAAAAGAAGGGGGGGGACAATATCAAAGAGATCGTTGTCGTTTGCGTTTATTTTTTGTTTGAGGGTAGTGCGTAGTAGATTGATGGATGGATGGATGAAAAATAAGAAGCAACTGAAGACGACAACGAAAAGGACGATGTTACTACTTGTGTGCATGCAAGCACAAACAGAACAGCTGAGCGGTATGGCGGTTTGAGAAAGAGGAAAGCAAAAAAAAAAAGACGCAGATCAATAAAGAAAGAAAAAAAAAAAGAAAATGTTTCGCTCGCTATGCAATAATAGATCTCTTTTTTCTTTTTACATCTTAGTTTTTTTTTTCTTTTACATAGAAAGAAGAGTATGAAATAGCCACAGACCACACCATTCTTTGGTAAAAATAATATGTTACAAAAGAAAAGAACCTCTTTCACTTATCAATATTCTTTTCTTAATTGTTCAATTGAGATTTGAATAGAAAAGATTTTTTTTTAACTCAAATATATAGGCAATTCGATATATTAATTTTGACTTAGAGAATACGATTTCATTTACATAAATCTCATCTAGAGTTATTCAAATTAGAATCTAATGATGAAATGCATGGGGAGAAAAAAAAGAATTTGTACTGATCAGTCAATAAAGCAAGAATCTGAAAAGAATAAATCGACGAATGTCAACTTCTATTTATATTTACAGAAAATGACAACGAGAAAGAGAGAGAGAGAAAGAGAGAAAGAGAGATAATTGGCTTTGATTCAATAGGCATTGTATGTACGTTCTATTTTTGTATTTCAGAGCATGATTATTATGAGGTGCTCACATATACACTTGAATACCTACCTGGGGGGTCTGTTAAAGTAGACTATTATTTGTATATATGTATTCTGCTTTTGTTCATTCATCTCATCTCTGCGTGTTCATATTCTTTCTCATTAAACCTGCACGACAACACATTCCAAAATAAAAGAAAAGGATATTGAATCTGTCTCCCTTGTCATCACACACACACACACACACTCTAATTGAAATGCAATCGGGCATTCATTTATTCACTCATTTTTTTTTTCTGTTGTTTGCAATAGAATAACTATGAAGAAAAAGAAAAATACAAATAAAATGTATTAAGAAACAACAACACAAAGAACCGAACACTTTGCAATGTCATTGCTTACGAAGAGCACCATAGATTGGCTTATTATTTCATTAGATGTATCAGTTAAAGATGAATGTTACTGCTGTGAACTATCACTTTTCACCAGACAGAAAATGAGACATAACATACACATATCGAGATTCTAATTGATGGAACATAGCATGACAAATAAGCAGCAATAGAAATAGTAATTCTATACAATACAAAACGATTAGTACATATGACTAGAATACAAATTAAAAAAAAAACGACAAAAAGAACACTTTCAACGAAATATCATTGGCCATTCTGTCACAGAAATAGGTGTTCTAATGTTTCCATCAAATAGAAGATCAATCCAATCAGAAAATGATAATGGATCAGTTGTTGATTCTATAGAATCTGTTGATGATATTGATGACGAACGATTATGATAATTATCCATTCCAATAAAAGCACCAGTTTCATCTAATACTTCGTCATTATCATTTTTATTTGATAATGGTCCATAAGGTACAAAAAATTTTCGTCGTATATATAAAGCAAGTACAGTTGATGTAACAAATCGAACTAAATGACGATTTTGATCATCTTCTATATTTGCATAAAGTTCATTAAGCCATCGTGGTGAATTTTTACGATAAAGAACAGTAAAGATCATTCGAGAACTAAAGAAGAAGAAGAAGAAGAAAAAAAAAAAGAACATCATAAGAATATTTTCCAGATTAATAAAAATATATTCATTGACCTAGATATAAAGAAGGACTTTGTATTCTCAATGATTCTATTTGAAGGCTTTCTTTTCATGATAAGAGTGTTACACTTAGATGATGCTAGAATAATTTTTTTTTTTGTTATACAAATTAATAAAATATCTTTTTAAAGATTATGTTGTTCATTCAGTTTGTTTCTGATATAAATAGAATTTTGTTTTTTTTGCCTTGTATTATAAAAAGAAAAAAAAATATATTAATTATTTGAATGAATACATTTGACATGATTATTTATAGAATATAAAAAGAAAATTGACATGTGCAAGAGACCGATGTAACAGAGATAAAAGGTTTTGTAGTCATTTTCTTTTTTTTTTACATCAGAATTAATTAGAATTTGAGTTTTATGAGCGAACAAGCTTCTTCTTCTTCTTCTTCTACTTTTGTGCGTGTTATTGACCAGAAAATTTTCATTTCTTTTTAATGAACAAAAGAAATGAAAAAATCTAATTAGATAATTAATAAATTTTTGAAATAGTTTTAATTATTAATATCTTTATTTTTCTAAATACATACTCATTAATTAAACTAATTTGTCTACGAAAATGTACAATACACGAATCATCTTGTGTATTAGCAATAAGAAGTAATATAATAACATTTGGTGCATTTGAATTTGTATAATTTTGAAGAAAAGATTCATTAAATTCATCTAATTTTACTGTATTTATCGGTTCTCGACTAGAAATAAATATTATTAGATTTATTTTATTTATTTATAGGAAAATTTACTAAATTTCATTTGATTTTTTATATATTGTTGTTGAAGATGACTGTGATCTTCTTGTTTGTTTTATATTATTATTTATATTTTTATCGAAGTCTTGTTTTGTATACCATAGATAAATAATAATTGAAAGAAAAACTAACCAAAATTGATATGTTAAAACATATCCTGATCTATAAAATAATAAAAAAAAAAAATTTGTGTTTTTATTTTTGTTTTCCAATATTATAATTAAGTAATTTACAAAGATCGACAATATGGATTTCTTTCAAACCAATAATTCCATTTATCTTGAATTTGATTATTAATTTTTGTAAAAATATTCTTTAAAAAAAAAGAGAACAGAATTTCAAAAAAAAACAAAAACAAAACGAATATTTTTTTTTTGTGTGTTTTATTTTACCTCATCTCTTTCATCAAAATCAAATATAGTTGGTAATGTAAATTTTTTAGCATTTTGCCAACGTATTGTTAAATATAATTTTAAATTTGCTTCAATATCAGCAACAATATTTATATTATTACGTTTTAATTCATTTAAAGAATTTTCATCAAATTCAACTTCTGTATTAACTAATTCAATTGTATCATCAAACCATCGACGAATAACAACAATCTTTTTAATGAAAAAAAAAAAAATTTTTTTTTTTTTTTTTGATATATTTCGATTTAATAATAAACTTACAACTAATTTTTTATCATTAGGATGATAAATTGATGAAAATATTTGACTAAAACTTATTTGTTTTGTTGATGAAGAATCAAGATATGCCATATATGATCCATATTGTTGAAATAATTGTTTAGCAAGAAATAAAAAAGATGATCGATATTGTTCAAAAAGAAATGAATCACCAATAATTAGAAAACAGGGTCTGAAAGTACAAGATAATTATATTTTAATTTGTAATTATTCAAGAATATAATATCATTTAAAAAGAAAAAAAGAATTTATAATTAATTCAAAATTAAAATTTAGTTTATATATATATAATACTATCGATATCATCTCAAAATATTGCGCCGATAGTTTCGGTTATTGAAATGAACATCGCCGAAATACAGATTACTGACTGTCGATGAAGATCATGCAGACTTTTAAAAAGATATTTATTATTTTCTAAAATTGATCATAATAAGATAAAAGGTTTGTTATTACTTAAGAAAATTGAAAGATTCACGTCATCTCCTTTGACAAACAACAATTACTTAAGAAAATAGAATTACTTTTCTCTTTAAAATTAGAGTGTATTATATGTCTACATGTATTTATAGGCATTCGTACTTTGTATATCTTAATATTATTTTATTGCTATATAAAGACTTCTTTTATTGAAACGTGTTTTTTCTCTTGAGACATGCTTATTTGTATTTCGATTTGTTTTTAATCTTATATAATCTAACATATAGATAATCATAGCAAATTCCTCAGCTTAGTTTTTTTTTAGATTTATTATAAATCTTATTGATAACTGAAAACTTCTAAGCGAATATCTTAGAGAGTGATCAATTGTGACAGTCAACTAGTATATAGAAAACTCCTTTTTTTTTTTTAGATAGACAGCGTTATCATGACAATCCAATCATTTTAGGAATTAATACTTTTTAGTAAGTTTTTAAATTAATAGTAAATTTCTCATTCTCTCCTTTCCAGAGTTCAGTTTATTGAACTGATATTAAATAATTAAAAGTAGTGGTTGCAAGCATATTTTCTTTATAACTCGTGACAGGAAAAGATCCTACTGCGTTTTCTCAAGTATATAAATTTTAATAAAAGTAACATGTGTGATGTTACCACAACATGAAAGAAACAAAAGAACAAGATATTCTTTGAAACCTGGTTTCTAAATTTCAATTGTTAATTAATTTTTGTTGAGTAGATTTGATAGAATAAATAATTGCTTGTTTCTGAGAAGAAAAAAAATGCCTCGACGTAAGTCTAATCTTTAACAAAACATCAATGCATTAAATGAATAAGTCAAATAATCTAAAGCAGTTTTTAAAGAAAAAAAAAACACATCAAATGAAATAATTATTAATTTTCAAATAATATTATTTTTTCGATAATGTTTTTTCAATCAGTAAAAAAAAATTGATTATTTTAATTGATACAATTCGATTATTTTTTTTTCAAGCTTTTGAATTGTAAGAAAAATTTTAATTATATAAAATCTTTAACATACTTAGCAGAATTTGTTTGACAAACTAAATTAAATACATTTGAACTTGTAATTGTTGGTAGATGTAAAAGTTGATTTGATTCGAATAACTTTTGAATATTAACAAAAGTTAAATCATTCTAAAGAAGCAAAAAAAAGACCTACTATTAAAAAACATAAATTTTCATTTTCAATGACTTACATCTTTAATAACAGCTATTGGATTTTTATCTTCTTTAAATAATAAAACTGTATCAGTTATAGTTGAAACTTGTGTAAGAAATGATGGAATTTGATTTGTCATTATCACAGCTATTTATCGAAAAATATAAATCAAATTAATATTTTTCTTTTTGTTTTTTTACTTACATGAATTTAATACGGCACATTGTATTCGTGATAAATGTTGTAAACAAGGTATAACAAATTTAAGTGTTGGTGTTTTTTGTTTAGTTATTAATATTGCATGAATTCGATTTGTTTCATTATATGATGATATTATCGACAATAGATCATCAGGAGTTCGTAACTGAAATAAAATAATAAATATTTTCATTTAAGGCTTGATCAATTTTCATCAGAATTATGAACTAAAAAATTTTTAATGATTTCTGTTATCAACTACTTGAAAAATATGTGATTTTCAGCAAAAGTAGAAAATCTTTTTCGTTTTTTTCTGTTTATGCTTTTCTTGACCATGCATCCCAAAATTCTTGAAGAACCCTGGTTGTAGTCAATTGCGTTTTTTTTTAATTTGAAAGAGTATGTCAAGAGGTAGAACATCTTTTTTGAATTAAGCTTTGTTACTATTACATATAAAAGAGCACTTATATGATTAGACTGCAATTTTTTGAGGCATTGAACTTTTCATCTTTTAATAAGTAAAATCTAAAAAAAGACCTGGCATGCCTGGCATCCCTGCCATGCTCTTTTAAACAAAAAAAAATTAAATATATAGAATAAAGTTTCACAGAGAATTTCAAGTTGCCAAATATAGATGTCTAATTTCAATAAACTATTCACTGAAAACTCACACTGATTTGGTGCTCACTGATTTACTTGACATATCCATACTGTATGAGTATGCCAATGCTTCAGTGAACATCGCGATCCAGTTTAGTCAGTGTGTCAGTAGATTTACTGTCGATCAATCACTGTCAGTGTTTTTACCGAATCTGTACATCTCTATTGCCAAATGAACTATTTTTGACTCTGATTTGTTGTGTATCTTCCGAAAACGTCATGGTATAGATTTGAAAATTTTACCACAGTCTCTCTTCTATAATCCTAACCTATCCTAAAAAATTTCATGCGAATGGAATGTACTTGACCTAAGATCGATTTTTGACGGATGAAGAAGCCTTTTACAAAAAAAAAATCTTTATTCCTCCTTCTTACTATTTTTATATGTCGTTGAATAGGTATTGATTTTCGAACAAATTCTTTAATATTTGTTTCTGTATATTGATTAGATTTTCCATTATCATTAAAATGATAAACACGATGTTGACTAATAACACATAATGATGGAGCATTTAATATACCTAATTCATTACTTAAACGTTGATCATTTATATTAAATTCTGCTGTACTAATACCAACATCATTGAATTGTTTTTCCAATGAACGAAATATTATTAATGGTTCACGACAATGTAAACAAAAATTTGTACTACCAAAAATAATATATGGTTTTTTATCACTATTTGGTAAAATATTATTAAGAAATTCACTAAAATAAAATTTAGATATTAATTTCGAGTTCTATTGAAAGAAGAAAAAAAAGAAACAAACAAAAATTTACCGTGAATGAATAAGTTTTTTTGCACCAGATGGTGATTCATGAAAAAAATTAAAATCATTACCAAAATGTGCTCGAAATATATCATATGGATCACGAAAATGATTCGTATTAAAACCACGATGATTATCTTGAGATGTTGTACCATAATCATCATAATTTTGTCGTTTTATTGAATCAGATAGAATCTAAAAGAAAATTTGTTTTTGGAATTTTGATCTTTTGTTTTTGTTTTTATATTTTACTTCATAAGCTGCATTGATTTTTGTGAATTGTTCATGTGCATTTGGTTCCGAATTTTTATCAGGATGCCAATATCTTGCTAATTTTTTATATGCTTGACGAATTTCTTTATCTGATGCTGTGCGAGTTAAACCAAGAACTTCATATGGATTGAAATCATTAGTTTTAGCGGATAAATTAGATAGATAAAGTAAAAAATATATGAAAATATATTTAATTAAATGCATGAAGAAAGCTTAAATAAATGAAAATAAAATAGCCTATCTAGAATAAGAAAATGAAACATTTGTAAATAGTAAAAGTTAATGTCAATACAACATTACAAATACAACCAACAATAATTCATATATTTTTTACATAGAAAACATCAATAGTTTCGTTGTTAAAAAAAAATACACAAATACTAAAAGAAAAGTAAAAACAAGAGTTTCAATTAATCAATGTCATGTATTCATATATATTTTTTAATGAGTATTGCAGAGGTTCTTGGACAAATGTCAGATTCGATTGTATTCGAAGAGAACATTATAGGAAATTCATTCTTTTTTTGTTAGATAGATCATGACTCCTACTTGAAAATGAAATGTTTAACTGACTGCTATTCATCCATTAGTCACAAAATCGATTTGGATTTCTTCGATACTTGTGAAAAAAGACTTAACAAATTTATTCAATTGAGCTTTTACTTTGTCAAAAGAAATATCAATATCTTGACTAAGATATAATCTTCTAGGCTGATTTTTGTCGGTTATGTAAAGAATTCTATCGATTTTTGCTAAGCAAAAAAATTATACTGAAGATTTTCTATCATTATTTATTTCTGAGAGAACACTTTTTCTTTTAGAAATTTGACTATCAACTATTGACAAATCTTATCACACATTGTATTCCTTTTTTACGAGCAATTAAAACAAGATCGACTAACTTTTGCTCGAAACTAATTCGATAATCGAAACTATGAAACTTTCTATTGCACAAAATTTACCGAAGCGAGATCTCTGTAAAGAAAAGTACGTTTAAGTTACTAGTTTTTTTTCTCTCAATAAGATTTAAACAAAATCCATGATCTGGACACTGTTTTAGTTTTAAAATCCATGGCACTGTTGAGATGAAAAATTTGTTTATCGCTAAAAACTTTTACAATCTACTTTTTTACAGTTTCGAAAATACTAAAATGAGCTACCTACTATTTGCTGCGTCAATAGACTTGGGTCTGACATTTGTTCAAGAAATTTTGCAAGTTCGGTTGCTTTTAAGATTATTTCATTTTACTTGTCGCATCTTTTACATAATAGAAAACCTCCATGATTAATAAATGTCCATTTAAAAAAAGAAGAGTCGTTGGTATTTCTTGAATAACGTTTGATAGAAATAAGATAGTGAAGTGAGGTTTTCACTATTACAAAAAGAAGATTCATATGCATACATACGTGCTTAAATTTGATTGATTAGCATAGGACCAATCATACTCATTCTTTGTAGACACTTTAAAAACGATATTGTGGACTCATTTTTCATTTGACTTTGATTCTGAATGTGATCAGTAGATAGGAAAAATTGTCCTCTTTCGATCAACACAAAACCGACATTGCTAGCTTATTCCGTTCAAGAGCTATAAGGACTTTCTTGAGATTCCCGATCTCAGTCCATTGACCTGGGATCACTCGGAAAAGCATATAGAGAGGAGTAATCCATCATTCTGAACCAAATGACGATATTTGCTTGTAAATTTGAAATGATCTGACACTATTATCTCAATCTATGTGACATGTAGACTTATTATGCTACATAATGGCAAATTGTGGAAGTTCGGAAAGACTGAAATAACAGTGTAAGACCATTTCAAATCCAAACATAAATATCACCACTTGACATAGTATGATGAATTATCCCTGTCCTACATACTTTTCCGAATGATCCCAAGTCAATGGACTAAGATTGGGAATCTCAAGAAAGTCCTTACAGCTCTTGAATGGAATAAGCTAGCAGTGTGGGTTTTGCGTTGATCGACAGAGGACAATTTTTCCTATCTACTGATTACACTCAGAATCAAAGTCAACTGAGAAATGAGTCCACAATATCGTTTTTAAAATGTCTACAAAGAATGAGTGTGATTGCCCCTATGCTGATCAATCAAATTTTAGCACGTATGTATGCATCTGAATCTTCTTTTTGTAATGGTGAAAACCGCACTTCACTATCTTATTTCTATCAAAAGTTATTCAAAACGTAGCTACGGTTCTTGTTTTTGGAAATGGACAATAGTTTTATACGAAAATATCGTTAATATTGATCTTAGAAGAAAAAGATATGTTTATCAGGCATGTATTTCATTTGTATTGAGTAAAATTAAATACTATTTTCAATAGATGATCACATCTATTATAATAATCACGAGAAAATATTTGTTCTCTACATTCATCAAGCACATGCAACACAACAGTAGATTTGTAATAAAAACGAAAAAAAAAACAAGCAGGAAAAAATAGCTGACATATGAAAAGAAAGAGATTAGAAAAAAATATATATATATAAACCTGATTATATCATTATAATGCAGAAAGACCAGAAAATTGGCGCAGTCTTTCCATGACAAGAAATATGACGACTGTTTGAGGTCCTAAGAATAAATAAACAAAGAGTTTATTTTTGTTGTATATTAAAAAGAAAAACATTAGAATAAGATGACAAACTATGACCTTTGAAAATCAAGTAGCGCGTAACTGTTTTGTATCTAGAACTTTGATCTTAAAATGGTTTTTGTTTTTGTATTTATTATCCTATGAACCTACGCATTGAACAAAAACCTGATATGTACCTTAACTTGTACACATATTATTTAATAGATGATGAATAGAAATTTTTTTTTTAAAAGACTTTTTAAACCTTTTATCGATGTATGTGATAAAAGTTTTCGAATATATCGATCAAAGAAAAAATATAAATGTCACTGAAAACTTGATATAAGATCGATAAAAAAAAATTGATTCTAACTTTTATAGTTTCAATACCTTTTCTTCTTCTTTTTTTTTATGACTTACCAAGTCGTACATATGCTGCCGACCAACCCCGTAATAATCCTCGAAAACCTTCTTTATTAACAATTTTATTTGTAAGTTCAGTAAAACCATAACGACCAGCTGCATACATATTTGTTTTGATTGTATCAAGTGGTGCTGTAATTGTTGTTGTAACAAGTCTATTATTTAAATGACACATTTGATTATTAATAAAAGAAAAAAAAAACACATCTCTTTATTAGCTAACCCAGTTATTAATGAAGCACCTAAATGTAATTTAATACCTTCACCCCAACCTGTTAATTCACTCCAAAAACGTTTAGCATGATTATAAGTTACACATTGTGTAGCTGTTAAAGCAGCTAGAATAGAAATATTTGAATATTTACCATCAATAAAAACAAAAAAAGAATAAAACATTTATTTTACCTGTTCGAAAAACTGCTGGTACGGTTCCTACCCATAAACCTTTAATTCCATATTGTTGCATAACATCTCTTATGACATGAAAAGATGATGTATATTTGGAATTTTTTGCTTGTAATTTTGTTTTACATAAATCAACTGGATTCGATATAATAGCAGCTATTGAACCTGATAAACAAGCAGCTGTAATATCACGAAAAATTTTTATTGTTGCGTGTTTATCATCTCCCACAAAATGCTTTAACATATTTTTTATTGGTCCATAAGCACCTAGATAAAAATGAAAAAAAAAAAAAAAATTTTTATGACGAATTTTTCTTTTTTTCTTTTTGTAAATTATATGAATATACCAAGTCGTACACCACCATAAAAAAGTCCACGAACAATTGCTGGCATAAGACCCGAATAAAATGCACGAATACCTTCTTTCTGATAGACTAGTCGTGTTGTTTCTATAAGACCTGCTTTCATAGTTGATTTTGATGTTGTCATGGCTGCATTAGCTAATTGAAGACGTACTTTTAAAACATCAACTATACAATGAAAAATGATAATAAAATAAATTTATCTAATAGAAAAAAAAAAGAAATTATCTTACTCGGTAATGTAACAATATTTGCTACAGAAACACTTAAACCACTTGTAATAAACTGAAAAAATATAATTGTTTAAATTATAGAAATAAAAAAATTTAACAAAAAAAAAAAATTTCACTTCTTTTATAATTGGATGTTCGTGAATATATGATTTTTTCTTTGTGGATAACTGTGATATTAGTGAATTTTTATCATTATTAGTTTCACTATTGAGTGGTTCATTAGTAACTTCTATAATCATAGCCATTCGAACAATAACTATACAATTAATAATAATCATAGAATCAAATTTATAACAAAAATAAATAAAGAGTTTACTTGGTACTTTTTTTTTGTGTTAGATATTTCTAATCGAATTATTGTCTCGTATTGTATTTGATATTTGAAGTGATATTTCTATATAGTAATAAAATACAATTGTTGTTACCAATCATAATTTACAACGAAATATTTTAGTGTCAAGTTTCTATTGATATTGGTTAAACAAAAAGGGAAATGTCAAATTGACCTTCTAGATGGCATTAGGATTCGTTCTTAGGGTTAATTAAAATAACTGATATATGAGAGGTAAAATGTGAAAAAGAAACAATTGTCATCCATTCATTTTTTTCATAAATATTTATTTTATCATACGTATATTTCGGATTTTGTCCAAAAAAAACAATGAATCATTTTAGAAATTCAACTGTAATCTAACACCATCTATGTAGATGACGGAAAAAAATTGCTATGTAATGTCAATCTATTGAAGAGATCTAAGATAATTTGGTTGTTGATGATTGTTATCATCTATCTTTGAAAAGTATTGCGAGATGTACTGTAAATTTTTTTGAGAGACATTAAATAATTTTAAGATGATGGGCAATAAAAATCCTTTGATAGGAAGTTCATCGATAATAAGTTGCTTTCTATTGAAGACAAAATCGAAAATTCAATGATTCAATTCAATTTACATGAATATTTTAGTCAAACAAAGAAAAACAGCTAACTAACAATTCACAACAACTGAAAGAATATATGTCCAACTGATTCCATCGTTGATTTCATGTACATAGAAGACTAACATAAAACGATAGATTAAGGAGTTTTTCGACTTGCATTTAAACTTGATATTATATATAGTATACTGGTATCATAACTTAATTGATATTCTATTGAATTTTAATATGTTTTTTTTACTCTGTTCACATGGTGTTTCTATTTAATATATAACATCAAATATGTAACTATTAAATCGTTCAATTTTATATTTGAGAATCTTCTTACTACCACTCGTTCAAAACTTCTTGTCAAAATGCAGATAACTTTATAATTTATATTGATTTCAAGGTTATACAAATTTAGTTTAACGTAATCATAGATAAGTGTTATTTTTTCTCCAAGTTAGAGAAGAAATATAGTATGATAAAATACTGAAAACATATATGATACGCAAATCTGTAATTGGTTTCGCGTGATTCAAAGATGTAGACATAAAAAAAATGAAATAGGAAACGGATATGTCAAACATTAGATGTGTAGATTTCCTTTTATCACTTGCCTGATATAATTCTTGCTAATTAAATTGACGAGTTATCTTGCGAAAGAGAAAACATGTTTATTTTTATAAAGAAAAAAATGCATATGTGTTGATTAAGCCAAGTATAACTTTGACAATCTAATCTTATTGTCAGATTGATTTGACTACTGTGCAAGATGTCGGAGAATTCATTGAATAGCCAATAGTATCGTTTAGCAGATTTATATAAAAAACCTGAAGTAAACAAATATGTATGTGTGCAGCATAAGCTTCCTTTGACGATGTTTCTAAAAATCAACAACAAATATTTTATAAAATTAACAAATTATCTACATGTATTTTCTTGTTTTTCTAATGTAAGTGAACATGAAGAATGTCTAACTTTTCGATTCTTCAAAATTTCAATATGTCAGTAAATAAATCAAAAAGTTTCACTTCAAAAAGAATATTATTATTCAGCATTATTCAATGTGAGAAATGTAATGGTTAAAAATGTGTTATCTTTTCAATTATAATAAAATTCTTTTCTACATAGTAAAATCTTTGTCTGTAAACATCTTCCATTTTGAACAAGATCTTAGTTCCACGGAGACAAATCTCCGAATACTAGTAACACTTTTGACAAGCCTTGGTAATTTTCATATAAAAAACATCTACTTCATTTGCAGCTAACTAGAACATCCTTTGTTTCTGTTAAAATTATATCGACCGTGTAATGGAGAATACGTCGAAGAAGTAATCATCACGACTGAGTTTATTTAGTGACACTAGATAGCATTCGAGTTTCACTTGGCTGAAAAATATTGTACGAAGCTTCCAATATCGATATTCTCTAAAACAAATGAATAATCGCTTGGACGGTTGAATATGAAACGCTTGTCTCCAAAAGATAACTACACTATACTGGAATCAGGGCATCTTTTTTGTCGTTGTAAATCAGAAAGGCTACGCTTCGATCAATTAGATGATCGAAGTTATAGAATGAAACTGTAAACTAGCCATTACGAAATTCACTACTAAGAAAACTCTATTAACAGATATAAACATGATTTTAAATAATACTCTCTCTGATTTGTTATCGATTATCAGCTTTATTCACAGATGTCTTAGCTATAAACCAAGAGAGCAGTGACTAACTTTCGTTGCTGTCTTCATTTAAATAATCTCGAAGCTTGAAAACAAGCGAAGTTCACAAAAACTTCCTTTTTTTGGATAGCTATCTGTACTCTCTTTAAAAATAGGTATCATAAGGAACTACTGAGGGTTTTAGCAAAGACGCTGAACTTTTTAAGGTTCCATTTCGTTATCAATAAGCTATTAAAGGTTCTAGATAAATTAAAGAACCATTCCTACTAAAAAATGGTTTCAAGTATTTAGAATAGTTCTAGCTCAAGTCGTCTGAACTAGACTGAAAAGAAAACGTGTCAAACGAATCTTCTGGATTTCCTCTGAAGTTTCGCAGAACTTTACTATACCTTTAGGCTATGATACGAGGGTGGAAATAATATTATTTCAGGGGAGTAACGCTATGATTTCAAATATCGTCAGCAACAAATTTTATACCGAATTAAAGTGTGTCAAAGATAGGATTTAATAGTGCTACATAGTAAAGGTTATGGTAACTTTTCAGTGTCGAGTTCAGAAAATTCCTGAATTTTACATCATGTCAACATAGAAAAATTCTTCTCATAAGGTATTTCAAACTAAATCTCATTTAAAATGATGATTATCACAAGGTAATCGACATCTAGCCTGGAAACATCGAAACAAATAATCAAAAATGGAGTTTAAAAAATGCTTTCAAAGACAGAATATAATCATCATCACAAAAAAACTGGAAAAAAACATATTTCAGATGTCTTGATAAAAATGGAAACAAACATTGGGTTATGAGAAACATTTTTATGTTTGTATGCGTCTCGTCTGGGTGCCGTAAAGAATGCCAATGATGGTCATACTGATTATTGATTATATTCACCATATTTTAAAAAATAAACATTACTTTGTGATAATCATCATTTTAAATGAGATTTGGTTTGAAATGCCTCATGAGGCTATAATCCTTACTATTTAGTACTGCTAAATCCTATTTTTGACGCGCTTTAATTTAGTATAAAAATTGTTGTTGATGCTATTTGAAACTACACCATTAACCTTCTAAAATAATATTATTTCCAACTTAGTAGAAATGTACACAACCTTACTAAAAGTTTTGTAATCTGATGAGTTGCATATGAAAACACCTCCACATTTCGCAGTAGAAGAAACTTCATAGTGCACCTCTCGAATACATTGTAGTTGGAAGGTTTTGCACTAAACTGTTTTCTTTCAGGCTCTCTATAATAGAGACAGTTGTTCAACAATCAGATGCACAATCAATTCAAAATCGTTTCTATATTCAAGTATGTATTATTCTCTTTGCAATCGCATTTGTGTACTACATTCGTGCATCTAGACTTCGTATTTTTCCATACGGAACTACTTCTGGACACAATATGAAAAGCATCGAATATATCACCATCAAAAGTGTTTTTCATTAAAACTTTGAGACTTTAGCAAGTTGCCGACAGAAGTAGAGTTTCTGCACACTAAACATCTTTCTATGTTTGAACTTCATGGATCATTTAAATTATGAGTTTTCTATAGCTTTTGCAATGTTGATCATTTGAGCACATTGACATAAAAAATTGATAAACCTTTTTCGTATGATAGAATGCTTGTTCAGCAAGCAGATTTAAACTATTAAATTGTATGCCTTTTTGCTACACTTGGCTTTTATCGCGCTCGAGTTAGGGACAATATAATATTTGTTCATTTCGAATTTAACAAAGAGAGACATGAATAAACATATAAGCCTCGACATCGCTTTATCAGTTTGAACACAAATATAAGTATACACAGACAAGTCGACCGATAAAAACATATACAACAGAGCAGATATACATGAAGAAATAATGCATATATATATATAGGAAATTAGATATAGATTCAAAGCGCTAGTCATAAATATAAGGATTTTACACAAACATATAAGGGTAAGTATAGGAATAATGGATTAGATAAAGAGAAAACGGATTAGGCATACAAATAAGCAGCTACACACAGGAATAATGGGTTAGATATAGAATTTAAGAGTAAGATATAGGAATAAGGGATTAAGAGTAGAACTAAATAGTTACGTATCGAATATAAAGGTTAAGGATTAAAAAAAAAGGAGCTAGATATAGAATTTAGAGGTTAAACATAGAAAGAAGGGGTTTGATATAGAATTAAGGAGTTTAGAATAAAAATAAGAAGTCAAGGATAGAAATAAGGAGTTAGATATAGAATGAAGAGGTTAAATATAGAAATGAGGTATTTAACATAGAATCAATTAGCAGTACTAGACTAATAAATGTATTGGATAGGCTACTTTTTACCAGGATAGAATTCTTTATGCAAGAAGAAAAAGAAAGTTCGAGATAGAGTCATATTTTACTAGAACCCTAAAGGATTCAGTATGACAGCAAATAAAATTGATTTAGAACACTTAGCATCTTTCTGCTTCTTCATAAATTTTATCTGGACCCATTGCGATTGACATTTATCGTCAGATGAGCTACTTAAGATTACGGCAATTGCTATAATTTTCATGCCTGTCTGCAGATTGTTCTGAGTAATGATCATCTGTCATAAAATTACAAAAGTGAAACTTCATCAATCGATTCTTCTGAGCGAAGGTGAGTGTGAGTATATATTGATGTCGAGTGTAGTTAGGTGGTGTGAGTGTGACGTGGGTGCAGGTGTGGTGGTGGATGAAAAGAAGACCCGCCCATCCATACTCGACGCTCACTTTTTCACACCCTACATCGAAATTCTCAATGTAGAGAATTTCTATTAATTAGTTCGTTTGTTAGACACTACAATAAAAAGCATCCAAATAAATTTTTTGTTAGAATATACATAATGTCAAACAACGTATCACATCAGATGTTTCAATAAGAATATCAATCTTCGCGTGAAGCAATAATTTCTTTTGAATATAATTGCTTTATCAGTGAAGAAGAGTATAAAACTGTTCAAGCAAGTGTACATACTATTGATCTTTTCAAAAAGCCAAATTGTTCTACATACCATTCATTCTCTATAATCTGATTGGTCAAAATTGATGTTGATCAAAGTGCATTAGTAACTTACTTCTATAAACAAATATAACTTAAACATTTGAATTAAAAATTGAAACATAATCAAATTAAATAATAATTGAATTTTAAATTAAAAATCTATTAAAACATATTTGCTAAAAAAAATTGTTCAATGGTATTTATTGGATCACCAGTGAATATTACTTGTTTATTTTTCTTTTTAATTCTCTGCAACAACTATTTGAATATCCAGGATGTATATTAAAAAATTAATTCATAATTATTTTAGATCATAATAAAATTCGTATCATCTCAATATGTCGTCGAAAATTACTCGCGTAAGTTTCAAAAAATAATAATATTCTTATTTAATTTTTGATATCAATAGGATACATTATTTGAAACGGCACAAAATGTTTTAACTTATGCTAATGAAACCAAGAAACGTAATTTTGCCGAAACAGTCGAATTACAAATTGTTTTAAAAAATTTTGATCCATCACGTGATAAACGTTTTAGTGGTACTGTTCGTCTTCGTCATATTCCAAAACCCAAATTTACTGTATGTGTTTTGGGTGACGAACGTCATTGTGATGAAGCTCGTGCTAATAATATTCCAGCAATGACTGTTGAAGATTTAAAAAAATTAAATAAGGATAAAAAACTCGTACGCAAATTGTCTCATCAATATGATGCATTTCTTGCATCAGATGTTGTTATTCGACAAATTCCTCGTATTCTTGGTAAATATTTTAGATGAAAAAGGAATTATATCTTGAAATCTACGTTTTTTTTATAGGACCTGGTTTAAATAAAGCGGGTAAATTTCCAACAGCTATTACGCATGGTGATTCATTAGTACAAAAAGTTGAAGAAATAAAATCAACAATTAAATTTCAAGCTAAGAAAACAATTTGTTTAGCTGTTGCTGTTGGTAATGTAACCATGAGTGTTGAGGAATTAGCTGCTAATATCAACTTATCGGTCAACTTTCTTGTTTCATTACTTAAAAAGAATTGGCAAAATGTTCGTGCACTCTATGTTAAATCATCTATGGGTAAACCACAACGACTTTATTAAAAATAACAAGTCAAAGAACAACCAACAATAAGAATATAAAAACAAATCATTATAATATCAGCATTGTTTTTGTTTTCTATGTATGTGTTAAAACTTAAAATAAAATAAATTTTTCGCATACATATGCAAAATAAAAAAAAAAGAAAAAGAATTGAATATCTTAGTGAGATTTATTTTAATCGTAGATAGATTTTTCTTTACTATCAAAATGAGCACGTATCGACGGCATTCAGGTTCTACCAAAAGGTACGTTTAAAATTGTACTTCTTTATTAAATTTTAAAAATTTAACAAAACGATTTTATAAATGATAGAAGGAATACAAAAAAAAAATTTGCTGTATGTTTATCTATTTTTTTGGGCTACTTTCTTTTCCATACAAATAATTATTTACTTAATGCTTGTCTAATGTTTGGTGTTGGTGCGTGTGTCATAGTCGACTCCTTACATTTTTTTTTCCTTTACATATGTGCACGCAATTGTATCAAATGATAGAAAGAGGAAAAAAAATGAGACTGCTATTGATATACGCTTGTAAGCAGTCCGTACTTTATTCTTATAACTGATTACGTACGCTAAGTCAAATAGTTGGTATCATATACACATTTCATTGAACAAAAAAAAACATGTCATATGAAAATAACGGCAAACAAGTGAAAGAACAAAATTCAATTGTAATCAATGGTTTAAATTTATCAGATGAGAAATATGACACTCAAAGGTAAGAGAAAAAATCTAAATGAAATTCTACTTTGCTTTTTCCAATTGACAACTTAATGTAATGGTTTGGAAACATTTCAATTGAAACAATAGTACATAATAATAATAATGATAACAGTTTTCTTTGTTTTTTGTTCTATAATTCTAGTGATTCAGATATTGATGATGAAACTATTCTAACTGATTCATCAAGCATTTCACCATCAACACTTAAACGCCGTGTAAGTTTTTTGCCAAACAAGCAAAATGATTTAAATGGAAAGACACCAACTATAACATTACCTACGAGTCCAACAACTACAACAACAACACCAGTCGGTAAAATGCGTCGTCGACGTCTACGTAGAACTAGTCGTTCTGGTGATGATCGGATTTCATTTCGTGGTCGAAATCCAATTTATACAGCTGGTACTTTGTTTTTTTACAAATAAGAAAAACTTCATTATTCTTAATCTACTATTTTCTAATATAATAAAAAAATAAAAGGTCGTCCAGCTTGGTATGATGCAACAGGTGAAATAAAAGAAGCATTTGTTATTGGTATTTGTGGTGGTAGTGCTAGTGGTAAAACAACAGTAGCACAAAGAATTGTTGAAAAATTAAATGTACCTTGGGTTACTTTATTAAGTATGGATTCATTTTATAAAGTAAAAAGAAGAAAAAAAAGAGTAAGAAAATACAAGAAACATTTATTTATTTAAAAGGTTCTTTCGGATGAACAACATGAGCAAGCTAATGCAAATAATTATAATTTTGATCATCCAGATGCATTTGATTTTGATCTTTTACTTGAAACACTTAAAAATCTTAAAATGGGTAAACAAGTACGGTAAAAAATATATTATAAAACATATTCGATGATATTTATTATCGATTAGGTCGAGATTCCATTGTATAATTTTTCTACACATGCTCGTGAATCACATACAGTAAGTTTCAATTAAAATAATATTAATACAAATATTTTCTATGACTAATTTTTGTTTTTTTTTTGTTTTTATTATTATGAATAGAAAATGCTTTATGGGGCTAATGTAGTCATTTTTGAAGGAATTATGGCATTTGCTAGTAAAGAAATTCTTGAAGTGTGTTATTGAATTTGAGATTTATTTGTTTTTTGAAATAAAATGTTTTTTTTTTTATACGAATAGATTCTTGATATGAAAGTATTCGTTGATACGGATGCAGATATTCGTCTTGCACGTCGCCTCGAACGTGATATAACCGAACGTGGGCGTGATATAGATGGTGTTATACAACAATATACGCGTTTTGTTAAACCTTCTTATGATCATTATATTGCACCAACAATGATTTATGCAGATTTAATTGTTCCGAGAGGTAAAAAAAAGAAAGTTTAAAATTTATATTCGATCTTACATCTTCTTATGTCTAAGAAATTTTTTCAATGAAAGAATTTGTTAAATTTTTTCTGTCAAGGTTTGCATTATTCGAAATTAATGGTGCAGAAAAAGCCAATGAAGAAGTAACAAACTATAGCTAAAAATAGAATCTTTTTTTTTTTATTTTAATAATTTTACACAAATTAGATGCACACATATGTGAATGTCACATTCGTTACACTTAACTGTTAGAAGATAGTTGATTATTTATCTTCAACGAAATAAATTAGTATTCATGTTCGTAACTAAACTAGAATAAAACCAAACCGTGATAATTTATTTCTTCATCGTTACAAATAGCAATAGTCTTGTAATTTATGTTCTTGATGTACTTGACATGAATATTGAAATTTATTTGTACCTATATTCGAATATAATTTGACACTTCAGAAGACACAAGAACAAATAATGCTCATCGATGGTCGATTCGCTTTAACCTAGACTGAAGTAATAGTTTACAAATCGATATTCATCTGTGTCTTCCTGTCTGGAGCACAGTAACCATATAATAACTATGGCCATGTATGCTACAGTTTCGGTTATTTCAGCCATATTTATCACAGTTGGATCAAAGTTTTAACCATTTTTGCTATATTTTTAATTGTTCGTGTCAGATCTTTGATTACTGACCCAAGAGCTGGCACGAGTGCTTCAAAATATGGTCTAACGACCACGAAAATGGCTCAAGTTCTCAAAACTATGGTGCGATTGGTCGCATCCATGGTATAAATGACTAAATCTGCTTATTTATATCATCGATATGGTCACTTGTACCATGTGTTGCAGACAGACACAAGTGAATTTCCGTTTCTAGACCCTTTCCTTTCCGTCTAGGGAATTTAAAATAAACTATTAGTGTGATAAACACTACTTGCACAAACGAGAGAACCATTCCAGGTGGCGCCTTGCGTCTAGGATGAGTCACCTGTGCTTAGGTAAAGTCTGTTGAAACTAGAAAAAGTCTAGCAGAATTCATTCTCATGTACGATCCTTCTGAAGTTATAACTGTTTCACAGAATTTTTTAGTCCTGGTACGATACTTACAAAAAAAAAATGAACAAATGAATTTTGATCTAAAACTTTGTTCATAAACAGCTCTTGAGATTATTAGAATATTCGAAAACTCTCAGCCAAAAGGAATGATTTCTTCTTGAGACATTAAATCTCGAAAATACCGTAATATTCCATAAAAAATGACAAATAATCTAGTCTTTTTTTTGACGATTACCAGATTTCTGCTTTGCAGTTTCTACCATTTTCGTGAGTGTTTCCGCTGGAAATGGAGTCTTTCCAGCGGAAATTCATGGATTCAGGTACAGAAGTCATTGATCTCAAAAGTACCGTACCAAGATTAAAAATCCAGTGAAACGGCCATAACTCTAGAAGGACAGCGCATAGAGAGAAATCCTTCTAGATTTGTTCTAGTCTCAACAAATACTACCTAATTAGGTATATCTCATTTCAAAAGCGAATTATCATCCGGGGTAGTTCCCTCATAAGTACATTCATTAGAAGTCCTTAAAAAAAATATTCGATTGATTCTTTCTTGAAAAATAATCTTTTCTGCAAACTTCTAATAAGACCCAAGGTCTGTTGCATCATAAATAAAGCTCAAGAAAAAATATCTTAAATATTATCTTGTTTATGAATGATGGGGAAGGTTTGAAATCACAATGAATAGAATTTTGATAACAATAAGTCTACATTATATTTTGTTATTTTCAGGTGGTGAAAATCAAATAGCTATCGATTTGATTGTACGTCATGTGAATCGTGAACTTCAAAAAGTATGTGAAATTCATCATGTACTTTTTTTATCTTTTTTTTATCTAATCAAATGACATTTTCCTATTAGCGTGGCATAAAAGTAAGAAATGAACTTTTCAATCGATTAGGACTTATGCGTCATTTACCCATGCCTGATACATTTTATCTTATTGAACAAACAGCACAAATAAAATATCTTCATACAATAATACGGTATGAATTCTATTTTATTCAATTTTGATTAAAATATAAATTCTTTGTTTATTTGTTTTGCATTAGAAATAAACTTACAGGTCGTGATGAATTTATTTTTTATTCGAAACGACTTATGCGAGTATTAATTGAATATGCTCTATCACTATTACCATTTGAAGTAATACTTTTTTTTCTTTGTTTTTCGAAAATATTTTATAGAAAATTCGAAAAAAATTATTCTAGGATGTAACTGTTGAAACACCACAAGGTTCTTCATATAAAGGAAAAAAACATGTTTATGCTGATGTAAGTTATAGATTTATTTATAAGAAAAATAAGCTATATATATTTATTTAATAGGTTTGTGGTGTATCAGTAGTTCGAGCTGGTGAATGTTTAGAACCAGCATTAATTGAAGTTTATAAAGATGCTAAAATTGGTAAAATTTTAATTCAAACAAATCAATTAACTGGTGAACCAGAGGTAATAAAAAAATAAAATTTCTTTCTCTTGATTTTGCTTTTACATTTTAAACAAATAGCTTCATTTTCTTCGGTTACCTCGTGATATTGCTGATGCTTATGTATTTATTCTTGATGCTACTATCGGTAATATTTGTTTTTTTTGGTTTTATTTTTTAATTAAAAAAAGTCTTTCTTTTTTAGCTACTGGAGCAGCAGCATTAATGGCAATAAGAGTTTTATTAGATCATAATGTACCTGAAGATAAAATAGCATTACTTTCATTATTAGTATCGAAACAAGGTTAAATTAAATGAGAATTTATTTAATATTCTTTTTGTTTTTTTTTTAATAAAATTAATTGATTTAATTCAGGTGTTCAAACTGTTGCTTATGCATTTCCAAAAGTTAAAATAATTACAACAGCATGTGATACTGAACTTGATGAAGAAACAGGTTTTATATGTCCTGGTTTAGGTAATTTTGGTGATCGATATTTTGGTACTGATCAAATTGCATCAGCATCCGATAATGAAGATATTATATTTGGTCAAGGTGGAAATGTTAGTTCACAATCGGGTACACCAAATTCACCTCAAATATCATCAAAATTAAATCATACTAATCGAGATTTATCCCCAATAGCTACATTACGATCAAGTGAACATGAAGATGTTTTTTCAACAATATAACGATGCTACAATTCTATCTAGTCGATATTAAAAAAAAACAAAAAAAAAAGAATAAATTGAACATTCCGAAATATATGCGCAGGATGTTAGTAGTAAATCCTATTTTGTTTTGCTTTTGTTATATCGATACTACGATATTATGAACGAGATCTGGTGAATATATATATATACTCTTTGTTTCACTTTTTTTCTCATGATATTATATTGTTATTGTTGTTTGTTTGTTTGTTTTTTTCTTGCGCTGATAAGTTTCTCAATAAAAGTGATGAACATCTATGTTTTGATTAGTTTATTCTATGTAGAAAAAAAAAAAGATATTAGATAAAAATCATATGAGAATGAATGATTCAACAAATCGTTTTCAGATGTCATCATCCACAATTGATATTGATAACGATAATATTACAGAAAAGATATCTTACAAACCAGGAACTTTTCGTTATCAAGATGTACCAACTAATAAACGGAAAAAATTATTTGACGATCGACAAAAAGAACTCAATCCTTGTCTTAAAGTAAGAAATTTTTATTTGATTGAGTTTTAACTATTACAAACTTGTCCATTAGGAGAATAAAAAATCTATTCAATTATTCATAGCTGTTCGCAATCATTCGTGGCTATAGGAGTCGGCTACTTTATTGCCATGGTTGAATTAACGAAAAGCTTAAGTAAACGCTATCTCTCTTTAATAGAAGACTGTGTGAAAAGATCGCTTTAGAAGAATTTTGTATTAGCCTCAGCAGATACGGCAGCGAAATTCCAAAAGTGTGATAGATCAGAATAGACAGCCTAGGATGTTCGTATAAGGTAAATACTAGTGTACTAATCCACCGGTGTTGACACTAGTTATTATTCACATAGAAACTTTTCTAAGGATATACCAGTATCAGTAATACTAATCTACCAATATTATTGGAAAGATTTCATTATTATTGGCACTCGGTAAGTTTTTACTTATTCATTAATCAATTCTTTTTTTAATAGAATTTCATTGTTGCAGCAATTAGTATTGAAGAATAATAAGTCTGATTAGGTTAAAGAATAAAAATCCTATTCCAAATGAATGCCAGATGCAATCATTCAGAATCGCTCGCGTCCATTCAAATGATCGCGAATGACTTTTTTCTCCCGTACTTATATGATTATATAGATACATGAATTTTGACACTGCATTGGAAGACAAGAAAATAATAATGATTTAAATTTCATCTACCTGAATAAGTGAGACAATCGGAGTTCCATTGATTCGGCACTGTTTTTAAGATTACATACTTAGATTTATATTTATTTGGTAAAAAATTACATTCATTTTTTTGCATTTAGGAATCAGAAATAGTCAGTGCTTGTTTATTATCAGCTGGCAATGATTATTCTAAATGTCTTGCACAAGTGGAAAATTATAAAACATGCAAACGTTTTTGGGTAAATAATTTTTTTTTTAGCATTAATTTTAGATTAAGAATTGACATTGAACAAATAAGAAATACTGTAAACTTATTATTATTCATCATAATCTTTGTTCTAATCGAGACATACATCTTTAGAATAACGATGAAGACAGTGAACGTATGATAAAACTACAATGATTTATGATGGAACGTTTTCAATTGATCAATCGCTTTTGAATTCAGACTCTGTAAATAAGATAGAGATCAATAAGATGAAAAAAAATCTCAAAAGGATAAGTTCTCGTAAGCCTTCTATCCAGAATTATAGGCATTTTACTAGAATTTTAGTCTCTGGCATGATATATACTAACAAATCTCAGATCGAAATACTATCATTCGATTTATTGGTATATATTATGCCAGAGATGAAAATTCCAGTCAAATATCTATAATTCTGGATAGAAGGTTTAAGAAGACTTATGCTTTTGAGGTTTTTCATATCTCACTGGAATCTACGTTATGCACCGAGTTCGAATTCAAAAGCGATTGATCAATTGAAAACATTTCCTCGCTAGATTCATTTTGATTTTTTCTATAGGACGAAGTCTATTTCAAGAAAATAGCTGAATTTTATATAATATGACTAAAACATAAGAACTAAACCTTTCTCGAATGAGAAAATCGAACTTAGAATTTTGACAAACCTTCTATAAATTCGAATTCCTCGATTCCGAAGATCTTCAGTCTATTTTCATATAGTTTAGTTATTTTCTGGGAATAATCTCTTCCACTCACATCCAAAATCCATCCAAGGCGATCTTAGTTTCATCATGTGTTTACTGTTACACCGTTATTGTTGCATCAATAGATGATAAACTTTGAAAAGTTGAACTATTAGGAAAAGAATATTCGAAATCTATACTAATAATGTTTACTAATCAATTAATAATAATTAATTGTCAATGTATATGATTTTCTATTATTTAGACAGCTGTAAGAAATTTTGCTACTACAAATCATTTAATGAAAAATGACGGCTTTCCACCATTATCTGAACGACCTATTTGGTATACTAAAATTATTCATTGAAAGAAATAAAATCTAAATTCTTTTTTTCTCATTTTTTTTCTTTTTAGGAAAAAACAACTTCAGTCATGGATTCAAACAAAGAAACTAACAGTACCAGAAGAACTTAAACCTTCAGTATAAACAATGAATATTTGTGTTTTTTACAAGATTTTGTAGATAAATAGTTCAATAAGACACTTTCTAGAATTTATAACTTCTGTCTTCTTTGTTAATAAATAAAAAAAAAAACATATTCGATTTTATCACTTGACATTACACAAAATCTATTTTTCTAGTGTAAATTAAAAAAAAATCTATTGATTCAATTCAATTTGTTAGACAAAATACAACATTGATTTAATCTCTAATAAAAGTTTTACCTTTTTATTTTTTAGATAATTAATGTTTCGTTTTCGATTTCGTTTAAATTCTTCATTATTAGCTTTAACATCTTCAATATTTTTTAATCGGTCATCAAAAGAATCTAAATCTAATCTTAACGAGAATCCATCTGAATTACCACGAACACCATATCAACATATTAATTGTACTGGTTTTGAATGCATACGTGAATCATCAATGATTACTCTATCATCATCATCTTCATTCCTTAAACAAACATTATATTATTATTCGGAATTAACTCAACGTTATTGTACTCATATATCTACAATGATTAGCGTATTAGAAGAATATAAAAGACTTGAAGGTACAGGAAATATTCAACAAGAAATTTGGGATATTTATATAAAACATCGTATTTTATTTAATGAAATGAAAACTGAATTATTACGTTTACGTTTACTTTTATCAACAATTGATCGTCTTGTTACGGAATCAATTGATGCTTGTTATCAAACACAAGATGAAATTGTAACACAACTTGTATCAAATGAATTAATTCATGCAAAACGTATTATAGAACAAAATGAACAATTAATAAATAAAAATGAAATGATATTAACAACTGAACAAATTAAATTAATTGAAAAATCAAAAGATGATAGTGATAAAAAAAATTCTCATGAATAATAATTATAGATTTATTTCTTTTGTTTATTTGTTTTTTTATTATATTTTTTGTTTTATATATTTTAGATAATGAATTAAATGGATGAAAATTTCATTTGTTCAAATTCTGAAGCATGTCTTCATTTTATTTATTCGAAATTTGATTATTATAAAAAAATTCTTGATGATGATCAACAAGCATGTGATAATATGATTGCTTTTATTAGACAACAAGCATGTTTATATAATAATGACGATGAAAAAGTTCGATCAATAATTGGATTTGATAGAATTGAATTAGCTAATCAATTAGATTATTTTGAACAAGAAGCTTTTAAAACAAATGAAGAAAATAAAACATGTATATATTATTTAACTCTTAACTTGATTGAAAAATCAAAATAACTTATTTTATTAATCTAGTTGTGAAGTGGCAAAAAAATATCATTCTAATTTAACATTTATCTTTCAATGTGTATTAAACACAATTCTCTATAGTAATCAGCTAGAACATTCTATTAGACAACCTATAATAACAACCGAACATAGGATATATTTAATCAATGTGATTAACATTTCTTATAGTTTTATATAGTAAAACTTCTCAAACATGATCATCTCCTTATTCTGAGCAGTCAGCATTTATTTCTGATTTCATAAGTAATTACAAACTTTGTAATGTGAGCAATATATGTTCTATCATTCATGGATAGAGAAACAAAAAAAACCTGATGTTATGTATGTTTCATTATGATAAAGACTCATGGGACACATAAGAAAAGGAGATGAACTAGCTGTAGATATTTAAAAAACAAAAAAAAAACCAATATCAGACAACGATAACATCTCGTCGTTTTTGTATTAATAGTTAGTGATATTAAATCACGTCAACAGAATTTGATTTATCTCTAATTGAAAAAAATTGAATTAATAATTTTTTGGAAAGAAAAAATAGATTACCTTATGCAACTGAATACTTATAAACTAAAAACCTCGCAATAATTAGCACTTTTCACCGGTCCCAATAATGTTCATAATAGAAAAGTTTTACCAAGGAAGCGGAAGCGAAAGCTTCGTGCTCCAAGCGTATATAAAAGATATCCTCTAGAACTTTTTAGTTATTTCAAGTTTATTATCAACATGTGCCACAAGCATATTACCTTCAATTTATTCAATATAAGTCATTTTGTATGCCAGAGAGACTTTTATAAAATGAACTCAAACTAATATTGCTCGTGGCATATGTTAATAATAGACTTGAAAAAATTAAAAAGTTTAAGAAGATAGTTTTGACACGCTCTTTGCGTACGAAATTTTCGCTTTTCTCCCCTCTTAGGTTTTATTGTATAACTATATCTGGAAAAAAAAAACTATTTCTTTTCTTTTTCTTTTTTAAAGGCTTATTTAAAATGTTTCAAAATTTATTCAATTTACATCGTGAATGTGCTTTTGATGAAGTACTTGCTAGTGAACGACAAATAACTGAATCATTCAAATATAGACCTTCTGTATTATTTAATATTGAAAAAATTCATTTTCCTATAAATTCTATAATATCATCTTTATCTACACATTCCGATATAAAACATTCTGAAAAAAATCATTTAACATTTGCTGCAACACCAACACCTCAAACATCATTACCAACTCCAATTCGTTCTACAACTTTTAGTAATCGAGCTGATATTGAAGCATTTCAACAAAAGAAAAATTCCATTCCATCAAAAACAATGCAAATAACAAAATCACCTATTGATAGTAATGAAATTGATTTAACACAACTTATTCGAGAAACATATCCGAATAATACGTATGTATTCAAATTTTATCTAATATTCTATATCTATACATATAGATATACACCGCTGAGCAAAAGTTTTCTCTCTTTCCTTGTTCGTTTCATAGCGAACTTCTTTGATCTCAAATGCATCTTAGTTGCAAGAATGACTTTAATATTGTATTTTAGTGTAGTGTATGATTGATTATGATCTGTTTCAATAAAATATGTACATCATTCAATACAATAGGCCAACATTACTAATGAGTTGATCGATAGAATACTTCATAGCTGTGTCATCTTTTTTTTTTTTAATATATGCCATATTCTTGGAAGAGTTTCGAGTCGGCGACGAAGAGAATTTATATGATTCAAGTTATTAAAACAGTTGACAGATTTAAAATAAAAAAAAAAGAAATAATCAACATTCTGTCAACTAACTCATTTGTAGTGTTAATCAATTGTATTGGAAGAGGTATATCCGTCATTGAAGCAAGTTGTCATCCATCATACATTACACTATAATAGAGTACTTAAGTCATCTTTGTAACCAACATTCACTTGAGATCAAAGAGATTCTATACGAAAAGAATGAAGAGAGGAAGGAAGACTTTTGCCTAAGGGTATATATTTCGATTCCAGTAGATCAATCAAAATAAATATAGATTATTATTTTCTATTAGATCTGATCAATTTAAATTTTCAAAAATCTCACATAATTGGCGACAACAACAAAAATCATCTGTGATACAGTCAGAAAAAATTTCTCAACGATCAATACAATGTAACGATGCTTTACTTATTGGTGCTAATAAACGATTTGTTCTTCTTTATAATATGAATATTCAAAATATACTTTATATATTTGATACACAAAAAAATGAACCAAAAGAAATTCAATGGGAAGAAGGTATTTTAGTAAGAAAAATGTACTTTATTAGTTTCTAAATCTCATGTGGGGGAAAAAAAACTTAACTCAATTTACAGAAACAAGTTTATCTAGGAAAAAGTATTGCTTGTAATGTAACATTCTACCTATATGCGTGGGCATTACTGGCATTAGTATAAGTCTAATAGAGTTGAGATTTCCAAATCATTATATCTTGAAATAGAAAGTTTAGAAGTTCTTTTGCCATAATGATAATGTTTATGAAGAAGTTTATTGATTATCTAATCTCTTAACAATAGGGAAGATATGTATATATATAGAGAGAGATAATCTCATTGAAAATCCTCTTCGAAATGAATATGAACATCTATTAATAAATAGTTTATTCTCATTATGTTTTATCAATGTGAACAAAAATAAAATACTTGATAACTTCAGTCTTTTCTAATTGTAGGATTTATTGTCTTAAAAATTCTACATCAGATTTACAAGATAGATTTTACATTTGAGCTAATATGATCGAATTTCGATCTGAAATTTTATTTATACGCACATCTAATTGCCTTTTAAACATTCTGAAAGTTTCGGCTAAAATGAATTCTTCTTTCTCGAGATATTGAATTTCTAGGAAAATTCGATTATTCTGATCGTCTTATAAAATATGAACTGTATTGGAAAATTCAATATTCATAGAAGGAAGCATTCATTTTGATTAAAACTTTTACAATCTTCCAAGGATTGTTCGATGTCTTCGGCAATACTTTACTCAAATATTTAAAACTTATTAAAATAGGCATAACTTCAGAGTGAACGTCCAAAAATTCTTCTTCTTCTTTCAGAATTTTACTAGTCTAACTTATAAATAGAAAAACATTAAGTCAATTATGAACTATTTCTTGTAAGATTTTATACTGGATAAATCTCGATGATTACTATATTACTGATACTTTTTAACTCTTATTTTCCTATAATTGCATTTATTTAATTTGATTATGATAATAAGAACTAGAAATATACTTTTCAAAGCACAATCAATGATCATTGTTTTCTCTAAGTGCTTTTTACATTGAAAATGTTTAATAAATAAGAAACTATCATTTTATATTTATTTCTCATTAAAAATATTAATAAATTTTCTACAGAAATATTCTAATAAATTTACTTAAGAAATCAATACTATCTATATCATAAATATAATAAATATGTAGATTTATTTAAATTTAATTTTATCTGAAACATAATATTGAAAAGAGATCGAATTATTTTTCTAAACTTTTTTTTCTTGTTTTTTTTTTTTTTTTTATAACTATGATAAATTGTTAATAGATTTTATTTTGATTATTTTTCAGGTGATATTCTATCACTTGGTCATGTTGATAGTAATTTATTCTATATAATAACTTCAACAAAAATTTTTCTTTATGATATAATAAAAGAACATATTACTACACAATATTTTCTTTATGATACATTATATAAAGATTTATTATTAATTATGGATGATTCATATTATCAAACTATTTTAAAACGTAATAATCAAATACAATCAACTGTTTACGATGATTATTGTTATTATTTATATACAAATAAAGAATATAATCAAATATTTATTAAATGTTTATTAGATAATTTTTTTCAAGAAAAAAATATTAATTTAACAAAATTATATCCTGATATACAATATTTTATTGGTTTTACTGTAACACCAAAATCATTAATAACATTTCTTATAAATGATTCAAATATGTTTCAATTATTAGTTTGTGATGAAAATCAAAATTATAATATAATTAAAAAAATTCCAATGAATAATTTAATTGATCCAACGAAAATTATTTCAACATTTTTACCAAAAATTAAAGTATATCCATCAACAACAAATAAAAATAAAACAATTAAATATGGCAAGCAATTATGGTTTATTTTAGATACAAAAAGAAATTGTATAGATTGTGTTACACATGAAATTTATGTAACTAAGATTGAACCATCAAAAAATAATCAAATTCAATCGATATCAATATTTGATGATAAACTTATTTTAGCATATAATGAATTATCTGTCGAAATAATTGATCTTGACAATTATTGTTCTTTATTTCAACTTTAGTAGACTTTTTTTTTCTTTTTTTTTTTGTCTGAGTTTTGTTTTCTTTCGTTTTTTTTTTTTTTGTCGAACTACTAAAACAATAAAATAAGATCAGTACTGGTGAATATACTTCTAATTTTCCGATTTGATAATAAAATGTGAATCTTATTTCCTTTCATATAAGAAAAGTTTTTGAAATAAAAGAAAGATAAACTTAATATTGTGGAATAGTATGTCTTCTTTATTGTATTTGAACTAAAAGAATAAAGATAAGAATTACTCTTCCGAAAATGTGTTTCTTTTTTTTTGCCGCCTTTTGTATATGTCTTCGTCATTATTATATATGAGAGCGCAATAGAAACCTGATAGATGACGAAAAGAATGATGACATCGACGACTAATATATGTATTTGTCAATTGAATTATGAATTTGAGTGATGGATGCAATGATGAAGATGCAAGAGAGGCTCGTTCATCCGCCTATCTCGACCTCCATATTGTTTCGGAGACATGGCTTTTTTTCTCGTTTTTCTTTTTTTTTTTTTCTACTTCTAAAAAGAAAAGCCAAGAAGAAAACAGTGAAAGAGAGAAAATCATCCAAACAAACACACGCATACACATAGACAGAGTGCAAAAAAAACAGAGAGAGAAAGAGAAAGAGAAAGAGAAGAGAAGAGAAGAGAAGGAACCGTCAAAGAGTTAGTCCCGCTTTCTCAAAATGGAACAACTTGAAACATCACTAAGAAAACAAAACTCTATCTATACTTGATCTTCTTTTCCACATAGTCCATGCAATTTTGATTAATTGAGCAATGCTTATTATTTATTATCAATTTGAAGAAAATTATTACAAAGAAGAATATGGGTTGTGTTTCATCTAAAAAAAAATTATCCAAAGCAGATTTAGAATTTCTTGAAGAAAATACAGAATTTACTAAAGATCAAATTGTGGAATGGTATGAAGGTTTTATAGTAAGTATAAATTAAAAATAACATGCATAAAAACAAAGCATAGGAAAGTAACTTCTTTTTTTTTTTGCTTATATACACATCAAATAATCATATGGTTCATCGGTACTGTGAAATTGCTTTTCTTGTTCAAGACTACGTTAGAGATTAAATGATGTTCAAACCACTCCGGACTTACATTTCCTTACTCACGCTTTTTTTTTGCCTCATTGCATCTCGTCTCTATGATAATAGGACACGCAAAGCGAACTACAAAAACTTCTCTTCTTCCTCTGACTTTGTCAGTTGACTACATCTAAAGATGAATTTAGCCCGAATTAGTTTCTCGTTTCATAGCCATTAGTAACATCCTATAAGGATGTGTGTGTGTGTTTTCAAAAAGAAAATGATTGAGTCAAGAAGTCAATCGAGCAAGCATACATACACACAATATTGTTTGCCATCTTCATCATCTAGCAATTTTTTTTTCTCTTTCTGATGATTTGCATAAACTTATTGTTCATTGAATTATTCATTTTTACCATTTTTCACTTTCAAATATAGGTTAAAAGGATCAATTAGTATATGTGCAATAATCATAGAAACAAATTTGATGATAAAAACAAATGCTGTCGCGTTCATTCACACTCTCCTACGATTTCCCATGACAAATCGTACATTACGATAACAAAACATTTTGTATAGATGATTCTTTTTTTTCTTCTTTTGCTTGTAGTACTTCTGTTATAGGATGTGCCGTTCGTAGATCACGTCGTTTGGCGGCAGTTCCTAGACAGAGTACTAAACAAAACTAATATAAATATACGACAACAATGAATAATCATCGACATAGATCGAGAACGGCTAATAAATTTAAATATATAATTGTATTTTCGTTTGATCCATACACTGCCTCGCTAGTCATAGAAATCTCTCTCCCTCTCTCTCTCTCTCTCTCTCTATTGAGAAAAACAATACGAGAAGCAAACAACTCGATTTTTAATCGATGAATATGGAAAAAAAGACACAGTAGACATGAAACAAAAAAAAGAACGATTGATTTATTAATGGTAACTATACTCATCAAATAATGTTAATGCCCTTCAAAGTCTCAGTAGATATAAAAGAGATCGGATGAATGAACATAAACAATGATACTTTTTATATATGAGAAAAAAAAATCATTCTACCATGGAGAACACAGTAGAGAATTGATTAAATTTTGACGATAGAATATAACAAAAGAAAAAAACATATTCTGATATATTGAGTATATGATTTTGTTTTTTACAATTTCCTATTTCTCATCATGATTGTTGAACGAATTTTGTTGTTGTTGTTGTTTTTATTTCAATAGGAATAATCCATAAAAGAATTTAATGCTCGTCGTTTAGACTCAGAACGGAAAAGAAATTATCCGTCAATAAACGACAAACATCAGAATATTTCCATATTATAATACTGATTTCCTTTTTTTTTTTACTAGTTTCCTATACGATTTAGTTTTCTCGTAGATAGATACATTAATGTATTGTATAATATAACATAGAATAAGATATTTTAGATCAATTCGTTATAGTATGAATTGATCTTTCTGAAAAAGTTCTATTTGATATTGAAATTATTGTTTGTTTTATCATAAATTATACAGAAAAAAATGCATTCTATTTTTTTGAAATCTATAACTTTCTATATAATCATATTATATAATACTCTTGTTGAAGTGATGAAACGCTATTTCTACAACAGAATTCATTTTTTAATGGAAAAAAATAACAATATTCTCATGAGATGTTTTTCAAACATTTTCTCCTACAATAAAATTATCTTTTCCCTTGTGAAATCACATTCTAAACATTCCAAAAAAAAGTAACCTATGAAATCAGTAGACACAATGGAGAAGTCATGAGCACATATTACATTGCATAATAAATTGATGTTTCAAATAGATTATTGAAATTTTTAAAAGTTCAAAAAGAAAAATGAAGAATATGAGTCGTAAGAATAAAAAAATAAAAAATTTGACTTTATAATGTGAAATAAAAACGACTTTTTGAACATTTTTAATTATAACTAATATTTATGTGAGATAATAAATAGAACAATAATCATATGTTAACAAGTAGTATGATATATCTCAAAGGATTAATACTTCCACAATTGATAATTGTGTTTCTTTAGAAAAATGAAAGAAAAAACTTTATTATTGCTATATATGTATTGAGTTTGTTTTCTATGAAATTCGGAATATACTTTGACTATATGTATTGATTGAAATGAATAAAGCGAATCGTTATTGAAAAGAAATCATTCACAAGACAATGAACATTTCTATTTTGACATTAATCTTATGCTTGTCATAATTAGAATAACAAATCTTTTATTTTTCTTTTCTTTATTTCTTTAGCTCGATTGTCCCAATGGTGAATTGACAAGAAAAAAATTCATTCAAGTCTATCGCCAATTTTTTCCCAATGGACAAGCTGAAGCATTTTGTACACATATATTTCGTACATTTGATGCTGATAATTCAGGCAAAATCGATTTTAAGTAAGTTTTCGTCTTTTATTTTTTTTTCGTAAATATATTAATATTATTATTGCTTCTCATAAACATACATATTTGACTATTTCCGTTTTATGTTATTCATTGATATGAACATATGAAAATCGATTCATCATTATGTCGACATAGACAAATGCTTTCATTCTAATCCATTATTTCTATTATGTTCGGATATGTCCTTGTCTTTCATGATTATCTTAGAACATTGATAATGTAAATTATTGAATCACAATAATGGTTTTTTTTTTCTTTTATAGAGAATTTCTAATGGCAATTAATATTACAGGTATGATTTATTGCTTGAATATGTGACAATGAATAAAAAGAATCGATTTTTTTTCAGCAAAAGGTAATCCTGAAAAGAAATTAAAATGGGCTTTCAAAATGTATGATATTGATTCAAATGGAAGTATTGATCGACAAGAAATGTTAAAAATTATTGAAGTAAGAAATAAACGATTTGAATACCTAGACAGAATATTTTATTTATATATAGTCTATCTATGATTTACTCGGTGCTAATGTTTCACAAAATGCATCGAATGGCATCATTGCAGGTCGTGATCCTACTGATACACCTGAAAGTCGAACAGCTCAAATATTTGCTGTTATGGTAAGATAATTTTTTTGTTTTTCAATATTTCATTTTTGTTTTTAAATAACTACTAATTTAAAACTATTTCTTTAATAGGATGAAGATAAAAATGGGTAAGAATCTTTATGATTTTCTATTATATAAATTTCTTTCTTTTTCTTTAGAGTCATTACAGAAGAAGAATTCATTCGAGGTTGTATGGCTGATCGAGTCTTATATCAAATGTTAACTGCCGATACAAGCGATCCTGAACGATAATGATTTATTTTATGTGAATAATTGATTTTTTTCCTCTTGTAGTTTAATTAATTAACATGCACAATGAACTTTACTTTAAGTCATTGATAATCATGTTTATATGCTTGAAGAAAAAACACATATTCGTTTATTTTTCTTTTGTCACTTCCATCTCTTTATATAAATATATTTGGTTCTGTTTTCTTTTTGTTTTATTTCTTTTTTTTTTGTCTTGTGACTGTCAGTGTATATATAATGCTTATATAAAAAGTGTTTTTCTTGTTTCAAAAATAATAATAATAAGTTAAAAAAGTATTAAATAAAAAAAAAATGTCAATTAGATGCAAACGGAAATTCATTTCTTCTCATCAAATTTAGTGATAAGTGAAACTTGAGATTTCCAAATGAATTATTTTGACAGTAATATAGCTTTTCAAAGAAATTAATTATGTTCAATAAATGAATATTTTATCTATTATAGTCTCGCTCAAGATATTAAATACAATCTAGTTGATATAACTTTGAAATGTAAAAAGCGGTATTTCTGCTTGAAATATTTTTCATGATAATACCTACTCATTTTTCTAACACAAGAAAGTATTATAACAGATGTTATGTACTAATTAAAAATTCTGTTATGATAAAAATATCTTTTATGATGATAAGAAAAAATTTATAAATAGGAAACTTTTGACACATAATCATTAGTCGGAACATAGTTTCTAATTTTCTATATGAAAATGTTCAATATAAAAAAAATTTTCTTAAGAATGGTTAGGAAATTGAAATGATCTTTATTTCCGTAAGAAATTCTGTATCTACTAAACTTTGTGTCAAACACTAGAAAGAACATTTCCTTATTTTACAGTAATTTCCTTTTTTTCTTTTTAGAAATGAAGAGCTCTTCTATTTCGATCTTGGAAGAAAATTGAATATCACGACGGTTCGATTCATTGCACTTTTTAATCTTGACGAATATGAGTTGGTAGGAGATAGACTGATTATAAATTTGGATTAAAATTGAATGAACTATTTCTGTTCAATAAAATCCAACATTTCACTTTCGCACCGTGTCGGATAGATAACGTCATCATATATAGGTCTAAGATGAGCTCTAGTAAAGAGCTTCATGACTAGCTATCCGAAGCCTATTTCACAATGGTTCCGAAAACAAGAATTGAAAAAAAGAACCTTTTGAGTAATAGTATGTTGTTTCATCGTAGGAATACAAGAAACTTCCACAAAATTCAAGCATATAATAGGGCAGTCATCTGAAAGAATGTATGAATTCTCAAAAAACATGAAAAACTACACGTATTCATTCTTGGGTGCTTTAAAATCAATATCGTCCTGATAGTGACTCAAGAACATCATTGACACACATAAAGGCAACTCAGAATGTATTATAAAATGCTGAGTATTATAATATAACATTTCTAATATTCTTCAGTAATAGCAAAACGAAAATGTACTATTGTCTTTGTTCATAAGTTCTAGACTAGTAAAACTACCGTATTCATCACAAAAGATATCAAAACGTATCATGACGGAACATTTCAAAGATAGCTCAACAATAATCACCATCGTTGTTGATGGCCTTACAGAATATAAAAACGACGTAGAAAAATATCCTTTCTAAGAAGATCTGTACAATTGTACCAACCAAGTTTCAGTAAGCAATGTTCTTATTCTTAATGATACCGTGAATGCAAGGTTAGACGTAGAGAATTATTCAATAAATTCATCCACAATCGACAAACACAGATACTATGGCACACACGTTGACAACAGTAATCGGTTTATAAACTACTAGGTAGCCAGCAATCTGTATTTGGCATGAACTGTCGTCCCACAGCCAAAATCAAAATCATGAACCTACTCTCATTCAAACTACCGATCAAAAGCTTAAGTTGATATCATGTTGATCACCAGAAAGTGACCAAACCGAATTCAAAATCTGTATATATCCAACTCAAACTAGTAGAATTCTGACCATCGAATTATGAGTACAAGAGTGTTGATCAGTTTCTGAGCTCATAAAGATAACTAATGCAATTGTCTCAAGTTTCACTGTAACAAATCCAGAAAAAAATCTAATCCATGAGTCCAATTCTATATTGAAGTATAATATCGTTTGAAGATTCTTTTCGCAAACAAACTCAAAACTAACATGCAGAAAAAATATAGCAGTTTCCAAGGATACATAGAACGCAAGCAGTAAATCAACTTGAAAAATAGCAATGAGAGGGCTAAAAGAAAGGGGTTAGAACAGGCACTGTCAACACATCAAAATAACAAAATAAAGCGGGCGTCAAATTCAAGCGTAGTACAAGTGTAGAGAAGAGAACCATTGACGCAAACCAAGCGAACTGTTTTAATATTCTTAGGATACCGAAAAGATTGAATCTATGGAAGGTGTAGAATATGAGTATCTGCAACTAGTGTCTCGGTGTGGATGCGGATATCTAGAGAAACTCCACATCCACATCCACATTCCTACTCACTCTCAGAGTTATAATTTTTCTGATCGAAATCTACAAAATATGAAATGTAAAAAGTCCAATATCATGTCTTGGGAACGGTAATCTTACAATACTTTTATTAGGTTGATGTTTTAATACCATTAGCAGCACGTGGAAGTTTGGTCAAATCGTGAATGCTGGCCTGGCCGACTTCTATGTAGATGGATGAAAACAGCTTGTTGTCATCTATTGTTAGATATTGTATACGTATGGAAAACACGTACTATTACTCTCGCTCTGGCCGGCACACAAAAAGTATTGTGAAGCTTCTTCTACCACGGATTACTGCCGTCGCAGCTTGTCTGAATGTCTAACACAGAAGAAAATCAAATTTGTCGAGAGCACCAATTTCGTCAGTTATCGACTCTCCTTTACTGAATCCAATGTGAATAGATCTTGCTGAATAGTGAACGATAAAATTAATAAGGTAAAAAGTAGAAGAATAAAAGGTGTTCGTCACTTCTTCACCCTAATACTCTCATATCGTACTGAGACCCACGTCATCACGCCTCCCTCCCCCCCACCTTGCCTGTCAACACGCACACCTATCGCTAAGCTCAGACATAGATCGATGCCTGAACTTCACGTACACCAATACTCATACTCACCACACATTACCACACTCTCACCATCATTCAAGCAGACCATCGTTGTCACACTTATGGCCTCAATCTTAACGATGATAATCTGTTATGATAGCTTGTTGATTTAATCAAAAGAGCAGTACTTGTCATCTGATTGTTCAACATATTGTTGATCATTAAAATCGAGATTATTGCAGAGTAGCTCCTATAAGATATTATTCTTGTTTGTGGAAATTGCTTGAATTGTGTTTTATATCGTTTTGTCGAATTTATAAAAATGTTTTCAGCTGAAGAATTTCGGTTTCTTAGTAACACTAGTTTTTTTATGCCAAATGTCACCAAGATATAGAATATTCTCGCAACAAGATCGACAAGGCTCAAGTAGAACGAGTGCAACGCAGTTTTTAACAGAAATTATCTGGATAATTGATGTACTCTCGAAGAAGGTTGGGGGTAAGGATGGGTTGTTGAGTAGGAGCGTATCTTCTTTCTTGCCTTTTCTCCACCAACACGCATCCCTCCTCTCTCAATTTGACCCACTTGATTACTTGTGACAGACACTTTAATGCTATAAGCGAGTGTGTTGACGAAATAATTTTATCAAGGATTCTGTTTGCTCGTGCATTTTCAAAGCTTCTCTTGTGTTTCGACCACTAATTCTATGTATGTGGGCACATAGAAAAAGATCAGAATCCAATTACAAAATTTACTGCTTACGAGATGACTGTATTGTTGGCGTATACATAGTCTTCACATGTTGGTTCTTAGACACTCGTTCTCGATCTGCCTTCTTCTTCTAAGTAGAAAATTGATACAGCGAGACTTCATTTGATAGATAATAAGTTTTTGATTGTTACGATTTTGAGCCAATCGACAGATGATCTTCGATGCTATTCGTGCGATGGCTGCAAAGATCCGTTCAAGAAGAGTGGCGTTGACATAGTGAAAAGAGCAAACAATCAATATTGCATGATCAGTGAGTCTTAACTTTCTAATGTGCACTATCATGAATTCAATTAAAATAGAAAGCCAAAGCTGTATCTATGACAGCAAATGATGAATGTGAGAACTGAAATTAATTTCGTTTGCGGAGTGTGGGAAAACGTATTACCAATTATAGGTCATAGACTTTTTGTTGATATGAATTCTTATTGTTGTCAAATAGTATAAATTCTGTAAAGTAAAAGTCATTATGCATAATTGAGATCGATTTGCGACAAAATCACTGAACTTATAGTTGCTTTAATGATTACTACGATACAAATATGAGATCCAGTTTCCATAATGACATACTAAACCTATAATGAATCATTCTAACTGCAATTGCTGTATGAAATCATATGACACTTACATGTTGTTGTTGGTATAACCATATTCTGCAATGTATCCAATTGGCTCCAAAAATGTGTAGACAAATTCATGAGAAAGATATCAGGTTATACATGATCATCTCCAAACTGCATCAATTTTTTTTTCATTTGCAGATTCTTTTCATTGAGAAAACATTTTTTTTGTTTATTTTCAAAACGAAATATAAAAGTTCATCTATATTTGGATAGATAGTATTTCATTCTATCGAACTGAATAAAATCGTACTGTTCAAAGGCGGAAAGGAAATTGTTATAGGAACAACAATGAAGAAGTCGTCCCTACACAAACTTGATATCTCAATAGCAATCATCTCGCGAATTTAGATGAGTTGTAGCTTTGTTCGTTGTCTATTGCAGCATTCGCTCTATTTCTTGGTGTGTAAAATTTTTGCGCGATGTCATTAATGGTCCAAGTGCAAAAATGTGTTAGCATGTTAGTGTTTTTCCATTCTCATTCTCAAGATGATGAACTTATTAGTATTATTAATAAAATAATGGATGACTAGCATACTTTCCGATGGAAAATATGCGTTAAACATGAGAACCAAATGGATAAAAGATTGACGTACTCGTCTGACTAATTATGAAGAAAATTAAAATGTAAAATTAAATCTCATACTATAAAAGAAGATTAGATAATATTTTTAATTTGCTCTGAAAACTCAAAACTAAATTTTATGAAATAGAGAATGTGAAATTTTTCTTGATTCAAGAATACAAGATAAATTAGAACAATATTGAAGGCACTTTATTATAATTGATTTATTTCAGCATGATGCTTATAACAAATTCAGTATAACATTGAAAATTAAAGCAATTTTTTTGCGTTTCCTAATGATGATGAAATAAGTTGCATTTTGAAATTAAAACTCTTAAGACTATGTCAGTTGAATGCTTTTGCTTTATCAAGATCTATATTGATAATTTTAGAGAGCAATTACGTCATAGTTCTCTTACAACATATGACTGAAATTACAGTGCATATGAATCAAGTTGATATCAAAAATTCTTATGTAAATGTTTATTTTTGTCAGTTTATCTAACACCTTTATATAAACTCACATTTGAGCAGAACACAGACAGAAGAGCATTTGACAGTCAAAATGGCACAATATAAGATTGCACCAACTGGTTTTACGAATGTAGATATGTCATCAGCTAATACACCCGCATGGACAGTTCCATCAGATGGTGTTTCAAATTCAGATGTGAATACGTTAATGTCAAATAATAATAAAGATCCACTAAATTATAATGAACATGCAAATGCATCTGCACCTGATATAGGCGAATTACCGCCTAACTATTTTGATATATCAATAGTGCCTAATAGTGCTATTTTACATTATAATGAAGTTACTCCATATACTGAACCATCCAGAGCAGAAACTGAACGTAAAAAAGAAGGTGTTCTTTCATTTGATCCACTTCTTGATAAAAATCCTGATCAATTATGGCTTTATTTTATGACTTATCTCAATGAAAAACCATGTTTAGCTGTTAATATTCATGGTTATCATGTTGAGGTATTTGTATAAATCTATTTGAAAAAATTATATGAATTTATTATTTTACAGCATTATACAACATATGAACACCATCGGTCAGCCGATGGTCAGTGTCATACGCGTGCTGTACATCATACTCGTAATGTAACTGATTTTAATTTTACTATTGATTTAGCATCGTATGTAACACAACAATGGTGGCGTGTAGCTGTTGTTCCATCAAAAGAAACGATTAAAGCTGGTCAAGCTGTTTCATTTAGAGATGCTCTTGAACAATATACACGTTCAGAAAAAAATATTAAAGAAATTAAATGTCAAAAACAATTAGCTGGATGGAATTTTCAAGAATTAAGAGATAAAATTCGAGCATTAATTTATTCAACAGGTTATCGAAATCATATCAGTATTGTAAGTTGTATAATATTCTATATTGATTGAAAATAAATTGTTTTTTTTTTTTTTTATTTCCTAGAGTTTTCCTATGGAAAATCATCGAATATCAGCTCGTTCATCATCAAAAATGAGTCGTTTTTCAAATTCAACATTAGTTCGTGTTTTATGTGTTATTTCATGTTTATTTCTTATCTTTGGTCCTATTTATCTATGTTTACGTGCGGCAGGTTCGACACGTGATCAAATTGTAGCGGATTATGCCATGGTAGCACCAATTGATACTTTTCTTCATTTTAACTCTGGTATGATTGCTAATGCAGTAATAGGTCGTTCTCGAGACCTTTATTCAGCTTATTTTGCTTAAGTGTTTTATTGACATAATTTTATATTGTGAAATATTTTTTTTTATATTGTAATCGTAAAGAATCTGTAATACATATTTATGTGTTGAAACAATAAATTTCTAATAAGTTTACATCGACTTTAATTCATATGGCGAGTATATTTGACTTCAAATTAAATCGTATGAACATATCTTTCTTTCGCTGTACAATTGTTTATAATATAAAATCTATAACATAAGCTTTGTGATTGCCCATTCGCCATCTATTATAGTTTATTCACCAACAACTAAATATTAGGGTTTTCTATGTAGAAAAAACATTAAAAAAAAATTCATTGTTTTTCACTCATGAATAATTAGATGAGAATGACATCATATCGAAAATCTATTCTATTCGAATTCAACTTATAATTGATTCTCTATTGAATAATTAAATCATTAATATATATAAATAGCTCATTTACTATTACATTGTTATTCAAAAAATCTACGTAACCATCAATAGAAAACAGGTGTATAATTGTTAAATAATCATTTTAGGACAACGATTCATTCACAGAACAAACTTTGAAGAATTTTAATGATATTTGAGTGAAATCGAATGAAAAAATATCCTTCTTATATAAGAATTCATTAAATGATGTACGTCATTGATGACTATTAATGCGATTGAATAAGTTTTATGTTCTTGAGTGAATCTTTCACACATAATCATTTCCATCCTTATGAAACTTATTCATTCACGTGATAAGTAAAACGTTTTTTCCACGCTAGCTTTTGCTATTATCGTTTTATAACTGTTGTATATCAAAATAGATATTTAACATTACATAGACTGATTTCAAGTTTACTACCACAGTTTTTATTTGATAATTGAATTGAATCCAATCAATTGTTTAGTAATGTATTACTACCTCAGGATGAAACTCAATTCAAGAAATATTTTGATGATAATTATTTTTGTTTTTTTATTTTGGCTTGGATTAGCACATATTATCGTCACGAGTTATATTAATGATGTACAATGTATATTTAATAATCAAAATAGGTTATGATCAAAATGAGATATTTATTTTGCAAATTTGTGTTCTATTTCTCGATGGTCTTGTTTATTGTAGAGATTAGTTCAATATATTCTATTAAAACATGCTAATCACGAATTTAATATTTCGGTACTATATTTAAACGAAATGCCACCCTAGCAGTACTATTGTTTTGCCGTGAAAAACTTGTCTCTTATTTCAAATCAATTATTGCTTATATTAATAAATTTTTAAATAAATGAGATAAAAAAATACACATTAATATTGTTCAATATAGTCAAAATCTTTTGCTTTGTATCATATTTAGATTTATTGGTATGACAATTGAATTTGTTCCAAATCATTAAACGAAGTTCCCAGTAAGTGTACTGAATCAATTTTCAGCAAAGTACATCTTTGGATACTTTGTTACTAGCATGTCACAGGATCTCGATTATGTATCCTGCTGAGAATTGTCTTAGTAGATGTGTACTTATCAGATACCTGTCTAGTTTCTATAGCATTCTACGAAAAATTTTTCAACAAGTTATTAGATTGAATATTTAGAAGCATTTTGTAGTCAAGTGCTATAAATTCATAAAGTACCTAAATGTTGTTATGACAACTCGTACGAGAGTATCCTAAACTCAGTGTATTCACTAGAGATGCTCCTACTAACTTTATCTTAGGTGAATATTTTTATTTTCTTCAAATATTAATTTATATAATCGTTTATGAATCAAATGCATTTCAAATTATTTGCCTCCGTAAAAATCGTAGTATTTTTACGTTAATTTTCTCTTCAGAAAGGCACAATGCAAGTTTGTCGATAACAATTCATGTGGTTTTCTTCTTTTCTTTTCTTTATGTGATTCATTTTATTTTTTGTTTATGTCGTACTCGAGACAGAATAAATGCGAAAGCAGAAACGATGTAGTAACATTACGTTATTGCACAAGACATGACAAACACATGGGGTTGTTATGTGTAAATGTCGAAATTGTGCAATAACCTCATAAATTATTACTTGTCATTATGAAATTTAAGACAAACATTTTTAGTATAAATCATATAGAAATCAATCGAAATCAATAGTAAACGTATTAGTTAGCTACTGTCAGATACAAACTTATTATCAATTATCGGTAAATAAGAATTTTATTTATTTTCATTAGCTGTCTAATTGCATATTGAAATAGAACTAGAAATTGATCTTGTATTCTTTTTCTTAGTGATAAAACGAATATCATTATGGCTGAAAATGATATAGATATAAAACGTGGCGGTGGTTATATTGGTGCGTTTGGTTCTCGTATTGATATGATGGCTAATGAAGTTGTCACTAGTTCTGGTATTACTACAGTACCATCATCTCCTTATCATATAACTCTAATAACTAAAGATGAATTACGTCAATTAACAACAGATTTATCAAATAAAATCGATGATTTATATGATAATGCAACAAAAATCGATACAAAACATATATTTTCTCTTGGTCTTGGTGGTGATCCAAAAGGCGTTTGTTGGGTTGTAATTATTTGGAATGCAGGAAATCTTTTTCGAAGAAAATATGGTCTATCTTATAAACAATTTCATATAACATTAAGTAATAATGATGATCATTCACTTGATAAAAGTCTTTATTCATTACGTACAATATTTTCAATTGAAAATCTTAATATAAATATAATTGATCATCTTGTTTTATCATATAATTTATCTGAACAATATGATCAAGTATTTATTTATGCACGAGAAATGTGTAATCGTTTTCCTAATTCTGAAAAAGGTTGGTTACGTTTAGGTGATATTGCACGACGAAATGAACAATATAAGTTAGCAATGTTAGCTTATGCACAAACTATACATCTTATTAATGGACAAGAAAATGAAAAAATTCAAGATTATTGTTATAAAAAAATTTTTCATTGTGCATCAATTTATACTGAATGGGAATGTCTTTTTGGTGAAAATGAATTAGATCAAATTCCAGAAGAATTAAAAATAAATTTATTTACACCATGGACACAAATAATTCGACAACGTTTTATGAACATTTATTTAAATGAACAACCACTATTTCATCAAAATCCACGTGAACATCTTCTTGTGCCTTTTATTGATCCACGACAGACAAATCAAAATTTAGGTAGATATTAATATAAGAGAGAGAGAGAGAGCAATAAAAAAAAAGCAAAAGGGAATAATACCAACGGAATACTAAAGAAGAATGCAAGATGGATCGGTGTCACTCAGAAACACTAGGAAAATTTATTTTCGCACTTCGAGTTAAAAATTTCCATATAAAGACTGACCTCATAAAGAATAGTTTATTGTGAATGTTTAAGATATTTTCATTATACATACCCTAAGATGAAGCTATGATAAAAGTTTGTCTTTTAGACTGCTCCTATACACAGGTAAATTTGATGTTCTCATTTCAGGAAAGAAGCGAATCAAAAGATCGAAAACTTTCACAATACACTATTCTGATAAAGATTTGTTTCTGTGCAAAATTTCCAGTCGAAATTTGAAATCGAATTTTCCTACTGTCCCTCAGGAGAACCACAATATCAATTTGAAAAATACCGTAAAAATGCAGTATCTCAACAACAATAAGCTAAGGATCCGAAATCTTTTCAGGGTATTCATAGCTCATAAGAGTCCACATGATGCACAGAGTCTTGGCTCTAAAGCGTTTAATCAGTTGTGAGATTTTTCTCGCAAGATTAAAGTAGTTTTATTCTTTGCAGAAATTATGTTGAAAACTTTGTTTAATGTCTTTAAGTAACTGATGAGTAAAAAAAAATGATTCAACTGGAAATAACAAAGAATTCTTGTGTTTGACATCTGTATTTGAATGTAAATTATTTGTTTTCATTTAGAAATGTTTTCATTACCACGTTACTTTCGTTGGATTGTTCCATTTTTTTTGTCTATCATGTCAACTCCACGACATGAACGTGATATTGATGCTCTTGCATCTGCTCATATTGGTATTCGACATATTATAACATTAACAGAAGAAAAACCTTTATCTGAAGAATGGTTTTTTAATAAAACAATTTCACATACACATCTTCCTATTGAAAATTATCGAGCACCAACAATTGAACAAGTTGATTTATTTTTTCGTTTAATTAATGATCCAACTAAAACACCGTTATTAATTCATTGTGGTGGTGGAAAAGGTCGAGCTGGTACAATGATTGCTTGTTATTTAGCTATATATGGTTTTCAAACAACAACAGCTCAAGAATGGACACAACCATTTATGTCAGCTGGTGAAGCTATTGATAAATTACGACAATTAAGACCTGGAAGTATTGAAACAGAAGAACAAGAACGATTTATACATACATTTGTTAGTACTGTATGGAAACGACAATCACCATTACCACCATTACCTACTGAACCTGAAGGAATACCACTTGAAATTGAAGGACAATTAGATGGAAATATTGATTTAATAATGCTTTGTGGTATACCGGGTTCAGGAAAATCTTATGTAGCACAAATGATATTAAATCGTGATGATCATTGGACAATTGTTTCACAAGATGAAACAAGATCACGTGATATATGTGAACGTGAATTAAGTCGACCAGGAAAATATTCTAAAGCAATTTTAGATCGTTGTAATACAGATCGTGAAGATCGTAAACAATGGCTTGCACTTGCACATTGGGCACGAAAACCCATATGTATTTATTTTGATTATAATCCAGATTTATGTATATCACGTGCACAACAACGTTCCGATCATCCAACACTTATACCTGGTCAACGTGTACGAACAGCTGTTCAAAGTATGCAAAGACAAATGGAAAAACCAAAACTTGATGAAGGATTTATTGCTATATGTACTATACGATCATTTGATGCAGCTAATGATTTAATTAAACGATTAACACCAATTGGTATATTAAAATTTTTACGTACAGGTCATATTATGAATTTAGGTGCTGCTACAGCAGATGATTTTTTAGTATCATTTAATCAAACAAATCATACACCATATGTTGTTATAACAGAAAAAGTTGATGGTGCTAATATGGGTTTTTCATTATCAGTTGATAAAGAATTACTTGTACAAAATCGTTCACATTATATAACATCAACAACACATGTACAATTTCGTCCACTTTACACATGGATTGAAACACATCGTGAAAGTCTTTATCATATTTTAGATCGTGATAATTCATATTCAGAACGATATATTCTTTATGGTGAATGGCTTGTAGCAACACATTCAATACCTTATACAAGATTACCTGATCGATTTCTTGCTTTTGATTTATATGATCGTCAAACACAAACATGGACTGATCGTGATACATTGGAACGATTATTTGAACAAACTAATTTAAATTTAGTACCAATTATGTATCGAGGACCAAGACCAGCAGATAATATTTTAAAAGAAATGGTTCATTATCCATCTCAATTTTATGATGGTCCAGTTGAAGGTATTTATGTTAAAGAAGAACAAAATGGACAAGTTATTAATCGTGGTAAAATAGTACGAAGTGATTTTACAGCTGGTATAACTGAACATTGGGATAAAGCACCAATGAAAAAGAATGGATTTATAATTGATGGTGATAATATAGACTGATTTACTTCTTTTACAATAAATATTCTTCAATATATAAACAAAACTCTTTCAAAAAAAAATAAGAAAAGAACAAAAACAAATGATTGACTACATAGATTTGTTTTTGATTTTTATTGAAATTGATGTTATTTTATAGACATGTATACATTCATCTGAAATGTGTTTTGTTTTATAATCAGAATAAAAAGTAAATCAATATATTCCTTAAATAATCTGACATCAGAAATAAGCATGAGAATTAGTATAAATGATGAAAAAAAAAATGTTAAACTATTTTCATTGATTTTGATTCGTAAGAATTAATCATTGATAATTTTTTTATCTATTTATTATTCAAACAATAGTTCTTATTTTCTCAAAAACAAACAATAAAATCACACAGATATACAAACATATATATGTATTATATACTAAATAAATACTCAAATATAGGTCAATATTTTAAGAATATACAAAAATTAGATATTAGATATTATTTGTTAAGCTATTTTGGGCAAATATTGTATAATAAATGAACAAACATCTTTCATTTCCTAAAACAAAATCAAAACAATCTAGATCGATTTAAAAGATTTACTAAATAAAAATTTTATACCTGGCCACATGATGAATGTCCCATATGATTATATACTTTAAATGTATATTGTTTAAAACCCATTGCTTTAATACCTTGTTCAGTAAGTCGAGCCCATCTTAATTGAACCAATGAATCTTGATCACCTATATATGAAAAAACAAAATCTTTGTAAATTTTTTATCATTCTATTACTATTTACCATGACATTGAAGAATAGGTAAATTAACTTTTTTATCACCTGATACAAGTGCCTAATAATAAACATCTATTTAATATGTATATAGTTCTTTAAATAATAAAACTAACTTCCGGAAATGTTGTTGATAAAGGAAGCCATGTTGATAAAGCTATAACACCTGCAAGTGTATGAGGACATGTCAAAGCTGAAAAATAATAAGATAACAGAAACAATATAGATATATATATATATGTAAATATACCTGCATGAAGTGCAATTGCACCACCCCTCATTTGACATACAAAATATTAAAAAAAATAGTTTAATTCAAAAACTTACATAGAAAAACCACCGACTATCTATAATTGAATATTATGAAACAAAAAAGAATGTAATGAATTTTTTAAGAAATTCTCATACTTACAATGCGTTCAGGTGGAATTCCACGTTTAATTTCTTCTTCAACAAGATGATTTACTAAAAATAATGTAAACAGAAATATATGAGAAAAAAAAAGCAAAATAAAAAACTAACAAAATATTGATGATTTTTCAATGCCTTCTTGATCTTCTTTTGCCTGTTGATCAAGTCCCAAGATATCAAACCCTATTGAAATCATCATATTTAATTAATAAAATCTTCATTATTATCACTTACAACTCGTCATAGACGTTCCCATATTCAATGTTACTTTCTGCACGGGACTATTATATAAACAATAAAGCATTAATGAAAAAGCTGTTAGTGCAATTGCTACGAAATTAGAGTGTGAAACACGTTATAGTTACTGTTGCTAATTACAACTAGATTGTTTTCTTCTATCTATTTTCGCACACATTTCTTCACTGTCCTTTCCCGAAATGCAATAAGAAAGTAGTTTATATATCATACCGAGACGTTATTCATATACGATATGTCACAGCCTGTGAATTGTGAAGTCCGCTGGATTTGTTGGACTCTAATCGTCTGAGAAATGTGTAGGGCGGGCTAGACACCGAATGTAGAAAAACTGGAAAAAAATATCTCGTATCGTCGAGGTGACTATTCAATTTCAATTTGAAAAAATTTCATGGAGAATATCAAATTACGGTTCGATTGGGTCGAAAAATTTTGAATCTTATGGACTTTAGCGGGCTGGGTCGGGATCTAAATTTTTAGTCCTATACTTCAACAGCTCTGTTAGACCGTGTTTCATAAAAAAAAAGGCTAAATTAATTCTTTTTGTTTACGCTGTTGGAAAAATAAATTTCACATGTGGAAGAGATTTTGCAATACGATACGTATTAAATACTTCATGCCAACTTCCTCTAAAAAAAAACGAAAGTATTGTCTCAAATATATATAAAAAAAAATGAAAATTAATTTTCATACCCAACATCACCGAGACCATGTAAGAAAATAACCTAAATAGAAGAATAAATATGATATGTTCTAAAATGTAAATTTAATCATTTTACCGTAGCTGTATGCTGGGCAGTCGTAGAAATAATGGCTGATTCAGCCATATTTTTTGATAAACTAGTTTCATCATCTGATTGTGTTGATGTTTCAGATGATTTTAAACAAAGATTTAATGGCCATGTCGTTGAACATGAATTTCCCATTCAAAAACAAGAAAACAACTGAAACATATGATTTTTAAAATAGTTTTTTTTTCTCTTTCACTCTCAAGAAATAATATAATGTGAAAAGAAAAACATAAGTAGCAAAGAAAAAGATAACAAAAATTATATTCAATTAAAAAAAAACAATCAACAAGACAATCAATAGTTAAAATCACAAATTAATAATTAATCTCGGTTTGGTAAATATTGTTCGATAAAATCAATTATATCTTTCATTTCCTAAAATAGACAAATAAAACACACACATACACATGAATTAGTGTAATAATAAAAAAAAAAAAAAGAAAGAATTTTGTCTCGTTTCACCAACACTTTATTAATACATTGACGTATAGTGTTTTGACTATAAACAATTCTCATAGAATTTTACCACTATTGTCAGTTGGTTGCTAGTATTTGTTTATTTATTCATAGTATAAAACATTTTACGAATTTAATAGATAACAAAAAGTAGAGTTACTCAATATTTACAATTAGATTTCATTATATACTCTATGAAACTATATATAAAATAAAAAGAAAACGCTGTTGTGTTTAACTCGACATTTCTTAGACTCTATAAACTTTCTAACGCCACTAAATGTTTGTATTTCTCATACGATCTTATAGATACTTGTGTTCAATTAATAATAAGTATTCTTTATCTTTAATTGGTTTTATTACTGAGTGGTGCATTTAGATGACAGTAAGTATCAAACTAACGATGCTTATTTTCGAAGAATGAAACACAACTTGATGATTTTCTCTTTCATTCACATGAATAACTTTGTAGATGTTGAGAAAAAAAAATTGAATCTAATCTACCGAACTTATGTATTATAAAGTTTAATAGTGTTGTGTCTTACTACTATATTTGATGCATTTTATTTAAATCAAAACTCAGGTATGTCTTCAGATCAGCGACATCCACATTCTTTGACATACTATGTCAATTAGATCGATTGATTTATAGGATGTTGTCGACCTGTAGAAGAACAGAAGCTCGAAATCAGCAATATGATTATTGATTTTATAGAAAGATGAACAATATTAATCGAATTTATTATTCATTCATTTAATTATTATGTGCCAATCGTAAAAAAAAGTATGTTCTCGCATATATAGAAATGTGCAGGTTTGATTCAACTTAAATTATATATTAGTAAGATCGAAATGAAAAAAAAAGTTGACTTAGTTATATTCTTTATCTTTAAATTGTAAAAACAGAAACAATTAGACTAAGGAAACATTCAACGAAATAAAAGTTTGATTGATGAGAAAATCGAAAATAAAATTCTTACTTGACCACAATTTGTATGATCCATATCATCATACTCTTTAAAAATATATTCTTTAAGACCCATTGCTTTAAAATTCTCTTCACATAATCGAGCTCGATTGATTTGTATTATCAAATCTTTATTACCTATGTATCATAATAAACAATACTTTCAATATATTATTTTCTATATCTAATATACCATGACATTGAAGAATCGGTAAATTAACTTTTTTATCACCAGCTACAAGTGCCTAGAAATGAAAAAAAATAGTCGACGTATTTAATTTCTGTTAAATAATAAAACTAACGTTAGGAAAAGTAGTCAGTAAAGGAAGCCATGCTGAAAGAGCTAAAACACCGCCAAGTGTATGAGGAGATACCAATGCTAGAAACAAACCATGCATAAATATATCTTCGTCCAAGTATATTCAAGTCACATGAAATTTTCAGACTGTGTTAGGACTGTAATAAAGAAGCTATGTTAAAATTTTCAGCTCTTTATTATGACAGTTTCGCGAGATATTTAACAAACAAGAATCAAAAATAGTTCATATGACAATCCAAAATTTTTTGTAGTCTCTTAATCTATATATTTAATTTCTTTTTGCCTATTTTGAAAGACCATATCAAGATGTAGCGCTAATTATAGAAGTACTACATACTGATATGCACTATCAAATAAAAAAAAACGAATTATCTACCATGAAACTTCTTCAAGATTTCTGAGATATACGATCAAAAAAATATAAATAAAGGAAAAGCAAACAAGATGAGTATGGATGTTTCATACCTGTATGAAGAGCCAATGCACCACCCCTAATTGTTAAGCGAAAGAAATGAAAAGACAATAAAAACATTAGAATTAATTCTCACATTGAAAATCCTCCAATAATCTAAAATAAAACATCAAACAAAAAAAAAAAGAGAAATAATTAATAATATAAAAATCTTTCTTTACTCACTATACGCTCTGATGGAATTCCATTTTTAATTTCGTCTTCAACAAAACTATTTACTAAACAATAAGAAATTAATAAACATAAAATTTATCATTAAGAAATAATCTTACAAAGTTGTGATGCTTTTTCAATACCTTCTTGATCTTCTTTAGCACTTTCATCAAAACCATAAACATCAAACCCTATATAAAAAACATTAATTCGAATAAATACAAATCATTTAATGACTTACAACTAGTCATTGGTGTTCCATGATTTTTCGATATATTTATAATTGGACTAAGTAATAAATCGAAATATTATAGATTTTTCAATAAAACAATTTCCATTATTCTTTATTTACGCTGTTGGAAAAATAAATTTTACATGTCGTATTCTTTTCGGTATATCAAACATATTAAATTCATCTAACCAAGTTTTACTATAAACAAAAAAACACAACAATTTATAAATTTTAAATATATAATAGAAATCTTCAATCTCATACCCAACATCATCTAAACCATGTAAGAAGATAATCTAAACAAAAGAATATATATATATATTATATTTTGACAAAAAAACAAAATCTAAAATCAAATATTTTACAGTAGCTGTATGTTGTTCACTTGCAGGGATAATCGAAGGTTCAGTCATATTCGTTGGTAACCTTTTATTTTTATTTTTCTGCTTCTTCTAATTATAATGAATGTTCTCTAGATGAATTAAACAAAATCAAAAAGTTTTCATTCATCATACTCACTTATCAAGTTTTCAATCAATACCAAAAAAACAAAGAACAAAAAATAAATAACAACGAGAGATATGAATAATGTATAAATAGTTAACAAAAAACACAAAAAAAAGGAATATGCAAATAGAACAAATAAAAAGTGTCAATTTATCTTCTCTTGGCAAACGTCATTTGATGACAACAACTATTTCTTTCAACTCCTAAAAATAGATAAAAACTATATATCTTTAGTCGTAAGAAAACAAAAAAAAAGACATTTAGTCTCGCTTTTGTTGACATCCTTTTGTTTTCTTGACACAGAAAAAAAAAAGTCTTTTCAGCTATAATCCATTGACAGACTTATAAATATCTGATTTCAAATACAAACACGTAAATACTTATATCTAATTAATAATAAATATTCTGTCTTTCTTATTCTACAACTGTTGAAAAGATTCGTAAGAGTAAGTATCGAGCTAAGAATAGCTACTGATAAAGAATGAGACAATACTTGATTATTATTCTCTTTTTGTCCTACATAAATAATTTTATTTCTATCGAAGAACCTGAATTTACCGGACTAATGCTTCATTGACTTTACTTAATAATATTAGAGCTTAGTGCTTTTTAAGTCAGTTGACTGCACGAAGTGCAGACAGAGCCGACTTATGTTAATGTCTTTCGATTTAATTAAATATTCATTCAACCATAGGATTCTTATTTTCTTTTTCATAAAGACAAACAATATTGATCAGATTTGTCTTTTGATTCATTAAAATGTATCGCACGATCGCGAACTATGTTCGATTAAGTTTACATAAAAATACTGAAAATTTGCAAAGTTTGATCATTCTAATTACATTACACAAATAAATATTTATGAATCAATTAGTATTCATTGCTTTGCTATAAACTATGACTTCTTTTAACAATTGTTTCAACTAGTCTTATTTTTTTTATCTCTTAGGCTTATCACATCGAATATGAAGAGCACGATTCTGATTTTATGAATAGAAATGAAAAGAAAAATTCTTGTTAATGTCTAAGAATGGAAATCTTCTAAATGTTCACTCGTTTTTAGTCTAAACTATGTGCATTTTTTTAGGTTTAAATGAGTTATGAATATCCTGAAAAGAATTTATACTTGTTGCTATGGAGATGTTGAACTTCTACAGTACTTTTTAAATGAATGTCGTGATTCCTTTCAGGAACACTAGCAGATCTTAATTAAATCAATCTATTGTGAATGTTTCAGATCTTGTCGCCGTTCCTATTCTAACATATAACTATGATAATAGCGACTACTCTCGTTAAGGTCTCTGTCTATACAACGTTTCAGGTCAAAATTTGGAAATCATTTTTTCTGATGTTGCTGAGAAGACCATGGTGCTCATTTAAAAAAATACTGTAAACGTACAGCATCTTCGTAGCAATATACGCGATATCTTTTCAAGATATTCATAACTCATTTAGATCTACACAATACATAGAGTCTCGACTCAAAAGCGATTGAATAATTAACAAAAAAACTTCAATCGATAAAAAGAAAGAAATATAAGAATAAACTCCTTATTTGATCATAATTCATATGATTCATACTATCATACGAGAGATGCAGAATCTGCGTCTCTAAAATGAAAAATTTTTTTTCAAACGTAGATAAATTCTTGAAAAAACTTTTCTCTACTATCAAAATAAAGGAGAAGTTAAAGTCACTTTTCCACGAGCACATTTGAAGAAAGACGAAAAAGAAATCGATTTTATTTAATACACAAAAATTATCACATAAAAAAACTAATCATTATTAATCAACAATTAATAGAAACAGTTCTCAGTTTCAAAACGTAATGCATTGTATAGTCAAATAAAAGAACAACCTATTTCGACACTTTCTATTAATAAATAAACCAAAGAACCTCTGTACGATCCTTATACTTTTATTCCTCTAGGAGACTCATTTTTCTATTTAGATTCCCAAATGAAACACTTTTTCTATAGCTAAATAATATTCCAAAATTTTTTCCAAACTTGAAACATTCCCCCTGATATGCGTTGGCACACACAGATAAATTCTATATGTCTGTGTCATACTCTGCAAAACAATATATTCTTTAACACCCGTTGCTTTAAAATTTCCTTTACTTAATCAAGCTCACAATGAAGAATAGATAAATTAACTTTTTTATCAATAGTTATAAATATCTAGAAATAAAACAACGACATATATGACTTTCGTTAAACAATAAAACAAACTTTTGAAAAAGCAGTCAATAGAGGAAATCATGTTGAGAGAGCTAACATATCGTTAAGTATATGAGAACATGTCATTAGTGAAAAACAATGAATAACAAAAAAAAAAAGAAAAGATTAAATGATAAATCTTACACCTCTACAAAGAGTCAGTGCATCATCTGTAATTGTCACGCAAAAGTGATGAAAAGAAAAGAAAAAGTTAGAATTAATGCTTACATCCCAAAAGCTTAGAATAATCAAAAATAATTAATAAGATTAATCCTTCTATACTAACTATACCTTCTATGAAATTCTATTTTTAATTGCTTCTTCAATTAAATGATTTTCTGTAAAAATAAGAGTAACTTCAAATAATTTTTCTTACTAAACCTAAACAATTTTTATCATTGTTCTTACAATATCTTCTTCGTCTTATTTTATATTACAATTCAGAACTTAGACATTTAGCTCATATGATTTTGATAAATCATTCAATTATTCTTCATCAAATCCATTAATACTAGATCATAGATAATCTATTATTCAATACTAACCTCCTCAGTGGACTATTAGTAGAAATGCAAATAGTTATTCAATAAAAAAAAAATTAGCTTTTAATTTACATCATTGGAAGAATAAATTTTATATATGAAAATTTTTCTTATTCAATTTTTCTAAGCAACTCTCTATAAACAAAATCACAATAATCTTAAATATATGAAACAATATAAAAAGCTCATTCTCATATTAATATCACCTAAAAACATGTAAGAAAATTATCTCGCCTCAAAGGATAAATAATTCAATTAATAGTTAAGAATCACTTACACTAGCTGCATTTTTATTAGATACTAGAATAATGATAAATTGCTTATTTTTTATTTCGTTGATAGTATACCATCATGATAAACGCAAAAAGTTAAGTAACAAAAAGAACCAAATGACAATCATATGATTGGTTATTATTTAAACGAATAAAAGCAACCTCTCTTACAACACAACTAACTACATTTTTATTTCAAATGGATTCTCTCTGCGAACAAATAGATAAATTAACAATTGATTATCTTGAAGAATTTGGTCATTTACTTGCATGTAAACAATTACTTGATGATACAATAAAACAAGGCTATTTTAATCTTTCACGTGCACGTGTTATAATGGGTGTTAATAATCTTTCACGTTTACAATATTCTGAAAAAGATCCAATGATAGCATCAACAAAAATATCTATAACATTAACACCATTTAATATTGAAAAACAAATTGATAAAGAACATTATGATGATACATTAAAATGGTTTGGTTTATTAAGTCCAACAATATTAAAACAAAGTCAAAAATCTTTTCAACAAACAATTGATTTAGCATTAGAAACTTGTATAAGACAAAAAAAGATTTTACAATTAAAAAATCAAATTGAACAATTATTAAAAGAAAAAAAAACTTTTTTAATTAAAGAAAATTTTGATGAAAATAAAAAGGATAATTAAATTTTCGTTTTTTTTTTTAGATTTTTGTTTGTTTGTTTTTTTTTGTCTATTCTCTGTTTTCTATTTAATAAAATGACTGAACCAAAGCGTATACAAATTGTTCGATCAAATCAAAATGTTAATGAATTTGTTTATCAACGAGATAATAATTCTCAAAATTATTCGTATGAACAAATACTATTTGATCAAAAAGAATATGATACAGTTGGTTGGAGACGTTTACATGCAATTCAAACATTACCTTTACAAGAAAATTGGCCAATAACTATTGGAAATGGCATTGCATCGGTTTCAACTGGATTTATAGGTTAGTCCAAAGTAAAAGAAAAAAAAATCATACATGTAAATGTAATGTAACAGCAAATATTACTAATCGATTGACTTCATAGTTATCCTATATTTTTCCGCAAAAAAAAAACAACGATTCTTTTGAAAAGTTCACATATCCTATGAGTGTATTGCTTGACTTTTTTACAAGTGTTCTCAGAAGACTGATTGTTTTTGCAAAACACGATCTAAAAGCATGTTGAACTATGCGTGTCAAGACTCGACCTTCGTTCTCCAATGGACGCACAGCAGAAGGCAAACAACAACAAAAAAAGTTTCCAGGGTTTGCAATAAAATGTTTTTATAACAAAACTCTCTTTACTAGAAAGTAAATGGTTTTTTTTTGTAGTTCCTTTCATATGCTGTCATATGAGATATTATTCAACTTGACTGTATGTCATACTACTAAGAAAATTAAAGCTTAAAATAAAAAGGAAGGTGTCACTTGACTGTCTACTCTGACATTCTTCTCACATACGTGATAGACACATCACGGATTACTTTAGTAATGCCTCATCTTTCTGCCTTTTTTGTCGCGGAACTTGAAAATACCTTAACAATCGTCTCTCTTCCGTTATACACTGTGACATATATTTTACAACATGATAATTTTCTCCTCATGAAGCATTGACAGGCATATTCGAAAGTACTAATCTAATGTTGAAGTAGTATGACACACGAGAGAATTTAAGTTAGCTATTCTTTGTCTTTCTTTTATATTAATTGAAATAAATTGTGACTAACATGTTTCACCATTGACAGGTGTTAAGAGTAGGAGGTAACTCATAGATTGAAATCTATGATGATGGATTCTCTCTTTTACAATGATAGTAACTCGAGCATGTTTTATATTTTATGTTGACTGGGATTAC